CCGGTTCCAGTTCGAGACCAGGGTCACAGTTTGGAACGCGGCCACCGAGCTCCATGAGACGTCTCGGAGGCAGGGGAGGCGACAGAAGGAAAGGGGTTAATTTTGAGGTGAGCCTCTAAATGCAAGCTGACAATCATTTCGGAAAACTTAATTGTGTATGTGTGTGTGCATGTGATCAAAAGCAAAAAGTAAGTGCAAACTGTGGTGTTTATTTACGTAACAGAGAGAGTCGGGAGGTGATGGGAGGGGGAGAGAGGGAGAGGGGGAGGGAGGGGAGGAGGGAGATGAAAACGACAAGAGAAACAGGCGAAGAAGAAGAAGAGGGAGAGAGGGAGAGGATGAGGAAGACGACTGCGAAGTAAGTTGAAAGTATAACTTTTTTTTATGTTTAGTGTTTTTTTTTGTAAAGGGTGGAAGATATAGGAACGGGTATGGTCAAGAAGGAGACGATTTAGAAGCAGCGAAAAGTGGTTCACTCGGCGATCTGTAAGTTGCTTTATTCCCAAACAGAAACCACAGACTAAGACAATCTCTCTCTCTCTCTTCTCTTCTCTCTCTCTAGAATGAGGTTCAAATCAAAGAAGAGAGACGATGTCAAGGTTCTCAAAGCCACGCTGAAGGAGCTGAAAGACATCGATCCTCTGGATTACCTCGCACGATACTGCATCATAGACCAGCAGAAAGTCCCTCACTACCGCAGGTACAACGAGACATGCACAACGTCTATTTGAGAAGCTCTCTCTCTCTCTCCTCTCTCTCTCTCTCTCTCTCTCCACTCACAGGGTATACTGACAATGTTGACAGAGACTGAAGACGATGAAATCGACATTCTCGAATTGGATTTCGCTCTCAAGGCCGTGAACTTTGACCTGATATCGGACAGCGAACTCTCGTATGTAAACTCTGTGCTGGAGATTGCCGGACGACACAAACTCAATTTCCGCTTCTTCTGCCTCATTGCTGCTCTGTCGGAGAAGGTCGTTGCTCTTGAGTGAGTCATAGTGGCTTGTCATGTGATGCATCACGTGATTGTCACGTGACCTGATGATGTTCCATACTATGTACAGTACAGTGATATGGTGAAGAGACTCATTAACAAGATGGATTTCGAGGCTCTGGAGGTCAAGTTAAAGAAATGCAAGGTCAAAAATAACAAACACTTCACCGTAAAATAAAAACCCATGAAATGAGGACATCTCTCAATAAGGACACATTTTCTTTCCCTAAGAACTGTTCTTGCATGCAATTTAACCCCTGAAATGAGGACACCTCACTAATAAGGACACTTTATTCTCTCCCATTATTGGTGCAGTTTTACTAAATGATGAACTTGATTGTGTTGCTATAGGAACTGTTCTACTTGTTGGCCGACTCGGAGCACGAGAGGGTGGAGCAAGGGGGTGTGGTCACAGTCTCTAGTTTAGCAGTAGAGTTACAAGCAGGTACATGATCCATCACACACTCCCCTCCTTCCTTCCTCACCTGTGTTACGTAGCTCTCTTTCTTTCTCTTCTCTCTCTCTCTCGAGTGTATGCTACTGTCGACAAACTCTAAACCAACTCTTTCTCTTTACTTTGATGCTATATAAAGGAAAGAATAATGGGTCATTACACGGCTAAAACACACAAAGCCACACGACCCATCCCTATATCTTAGTTCTATTGAGTAATATGCAAATGCGATCAGACAAAGATATAGGGATGGTGTCATGTAGCTCTGCTGCTGCTGTGTTCATGTTTTGAGCCATCCCTATACCCCGCTTCATTTTTGATTTTTCCACTTGTATATATAACAAGGATCTGGTTTTATGTCATAAGTCAACCCCCCCCCCAGGTGGACTGACCCAGGAACATGTGGAGTACGTGTGTGATCACATGAACCACGAAGATCGCGGTCTGGTGGAATTTCTGGATTATCTCACCTACGTTCCGCTCTTTGTCGAAATACACGACAACATCTACGATAATCCGTTAGACTTCACCAGAACTAAATGACGTATTTTTCAGCTCGTTTTTACTTGTTTTTGTTTACTTATCAGTCGTCTTTGTTTTGTTTACATGATTATGACGGTGGTTAAAAGTAGTCTCATTGATGTGAGCTAACCCTACATTGATCATGGAGAGCACTACATACAGTATTACTATAATAATTATGTCTTATAATTAGACTAAAGTATCAAGGTGGGAAGGATCTTCTTCATCTTCTTCTAATTCATCTCTTCTAGTTCATCTTCATCTTCTTCGTGGAGTGTTTCCAGTACATGAGGGTGGTTGAAATAGTATGGCGGAGGAGATGAGTCGTCAACTGGTGAGGTATTGCCGCTACCCAGCTCCCCTCGATCTGCTATTAGTGGCTGTATGGGGGAAGAAGAGGAGGGAGAGGAGGGAGAGAAACAATTAATAATGAAAATACGTAAAGGTAGCATAAGGGGTGAAGACGAAATTTAGGAGATGGAGAAAGAGGTGGGAGAGGGAGAGAAACATGAGCATCACAAAGGAAGTGGGTGTGGCCAAGAGGTCACATGACCAACCTCCTCCTCTGGGGCATTATGAGCCGAAATGAAATCGGTATTCTCCATCTTGAACTTCTCCCACACTTTGCGATCATACTGCAGAGATGAGAAGGAGAACGTTTTTTCAGGACACGACGCTCATTAGGACAGACTGCTAGACGGCAGGGTTTGGTACGGAACGAGGACGCGACTTACGCAGCAGTGGAGAACCAGAGCAGCAGGTATCCAGAGAATCAGAGTAAAGATTAGCGTGAATCCTACGATATTCTCCTCCATAAACAAAACTGTAAACAACAACAAACGACGGTACAATGTTTATCGCGAGGCACACTTGTTTACCGAAATCGTCCACGTCAAGATTCGTGATGAAACTGAAAACGCGACTGATAGTGTCCTGTAACTCCCTGCATTCTCCCTGCACACAACAACAATAGTCACATGAATGGTCACGTGACCATTATGTAATCACGTGATTAGTCACATGACTCACTCCAATGCAGAAGCCAGTGCTGCAACGGAAACCAGTTGGTAAGTTGATATTGTCTTCCGATACTTCGCACGCACCTCCCTCCCGTTGACAGCACAACTTGCACTCGTCGTCCTGGCAACAGAGGTCACGTGACAATCACGTGAAAGTCATGTGATCAGATTTAAACCTGAGAGGGACAGGTGCAATTCGTGGTCCCGTTGAAAGTGCAGAAATCGACGCACTCTGTGAGATTGTTTCCGATACTTCTGCATCTCCCACTGGAGCAGAGGCACACAGATGAGAGTCTGTGCGCTGTATGTAGCTTCTCTTACATGAGGCAAGACGATCCATGTGGAGCCATATTGGTGGTGTCAATGTTTGGACATTCAGATGTTCTGCCACTATCACGAAGTCAAGGCTTTTCTCTCTCGTTCCTCCTCCCACATTTCTTCACTCGCTCCATTTTAGTCAATCTTCATCTGTCTCTCTCTCTCCTTTCCCACCCACTCTATCCTCCTTCCCCTCTCATTTTTCTCCCTCACTTCACACACACACACACGTACACACTCCCTCCCTCCCTCCCTCCCTCTCCAACCCAGGTTTCAAAGGATACTTGCAGTGGATATCAATGCTACAGTTGGTAGAGAAGTCGCCTGCCTCATTACACACCACGTCCTCCGAGGCTATCTCACATTCAGTGCAGCAAGCAGAGTTGGTATCACTGGACAGGAAGTAAGATCATGTGACAATTAATACAAGTCATGTGACCATCAATGTGAGATCAATATGGAGCATGTGACAATCAATACAAGTCATGTGACTTTGAAAACAGATCACGTGTCCAATAAAAAGCAGTAATCTAGCATGGTCATGTGTGTGTCACATGACTTTCTCCGGAGATCATGTGACAGTCACATGACCTCGGTACCTGCACATAGCTCCGTCTCTCAGCTGGCAGTCAGGGGTACAGCACGGCCCGCTGATTGGTCCTTCATCACATTGTTCAGTTACGTCGTCAATCAAAAAGTTCCCGCAAGGATCAGGATCTGCAAGAGGGAAAAAGCGACTTCGTGCAAGCTCTCCCACTGCTTGCTTTATTAGCGCTTCAGATAGCTTGTGTGGCAATGCAACAGTAGGTTGGAATAAAAATCATTCAGTCTATCTCGCATCTGCTCGTTTCACTGTACCTCTAAAGCAGGTTGCTTTGGACCTCAAAACCTGTCCAATACTCGTCCGACTGCAAATCGAAAACATCTGGAAAAAACAGAGATATTCCGAACTTTAGAAGTACGAATCTGATGTCCTAAAACGTGTACTAATATGCTGTCCTAAACTAAGGACTGCATTCATGTAATACTGTCCTAATCTGAGGGGTTAATTTTGTCTTCAAATTGTGTCCTAAACTAAGGACTGCATTCGTGTAATACTGTCCTAATCTGAGGGGTTAATTTTGTCTTCAAATGGTGTCCTAAACTAAGGGGCATATTATATGTTGTCCTGTAATCTGAGAGGTTGACTCACACTGTGACTGGACTCGGAGCCGTCCTGTGCAAACTCGTTCATCAGGTAACTCTCAGAACACTCGGGGTCGTTGCCGGGGTCGTGGTGACTACCCCAATTATGGCCCACCTCGTGCGCGACAACGAGTATCTGCTCGCCCCTAATGATGGGGATTCCCCCGCTCGTAAAACTGCTGATACCAGTGTTGTATATGATGCGTTTGCCAACAGAAGAATCAGTAAATCCTATCGACAGAAACATGAAGTATGAAACAACAAGAGAATTTTTAACCCTCTAGCAAACACATTAACTCTCTACCATCAAAAATGATAACTTTAACCCTCTAGCAACCAAATTTTAACCACCTCACCTTTAGAGCAGACTCCACCCGTCTGACTCTGAAATGAGCTGGCGATATTGGCCAGGCCGAGGAGCCCGCTATCGAAATTGACAAACGTGAAGAGATGCGCCAGACAGTAGCCGTCCCAGGAACCGTAATTGAAAGCCGAAAGAAGACCGTCGGCATCGAGCGTTTTTCGAATGTCTCCGCAGCAGTCAGGGTTGTTGTAGTAAGTCGTCGAGTTGGCGAAAAAATCTTGGAGGGAAGGCTCGTGGTGGACTAGTATCTGCAGGATTTGGTAATAGAAGAAGATAGCGAGCGAGCGAGTGAAGAGAATGTGCATGATATACGGGGAACCCCTCTAATCCGGACACAAATAGAACAGAAGAAAGTGTCCATATTAGTGAAGTGTACATATTTCATGGCATTTAAAGAACTGTTTTTGGGGAAAGAAAATGTGTCCTTAATAACCCAGAAATTCACACACATCCCTCTTCAAACCATTCTTCCCTCGTCAAAGGTTTTTGCCCATTTGTGAGTAAAAAGGGTTGAATAGCAACACTACCTCAACTACCCCTATTTCGCTGCCCCTTTACTTCATTAATCTACCTTTACTGCCCTACCTCGGCAATCTCGAGGCCAAAGTCACTGACTCTGTTGCCAGATATAGGATCCAACACCCACTCTGCCGGTCTGTATATCGACGAGTCCACTTGGGCTACCAGGGTTATCTTGGGACCGTGCTGGGGAGAGAGGGGGAGGGGGAGGATGAAGAGGGAGAAGATAGATAATTATACAGAACCACTGAAAGAGAGCAAAAGTCACGTTTTGCGCATGTCGTGTTATGCCAGCACAGACCTAACACACATCAGATTCAGTTTTTCCAAGTATTGGTGTGTATATCTACTTGATGCTGCGTTCTATGATTATATGGTACATTCATACAAAACTGAAACTAACTAACTATTAGAGGACTAACTATTAGAGAGAAAGAGAGATAGAGAGGAGAAACTTTACTAACCAATCTTCGAGCAATTCCAGCGATGGTTTCAGTCAAATCCTGACCGTCTCCTCTGAACTGGTTGTAGAAACGGTGATCGACAACAAGAAACATCGGACAGGACGATCCACCGATTCTAGACTGTCTCTTTAGTCGCTGGTGGTCCGCAACGGTCTCCGTGTGGTCCACAACGGTCTCTTTATGGTCCACAATGGTCTGTGCATGGTCTCTTTGATAGTTCGCGATTGTCTCTGTGTGGTCCGTTTGGTGGTTCGCAGTGGTCTCCGTTTGCACTCCAGGGGGGAGGGGTGGTGCGACCACAAAATCAAATCTTGTTTGGTTGAATCTGTCGCGTTTGATGTCGGAGGATCGGTATGCAATCATGTGTGGTGGGTGTGGCTTCGTGAGGAAATTATCGGAGGGTTCAAAGTGGTAAGTCTCGGTGGGCGTGGTAACCGATGCAGTCATCAGTCCAGACTCAGATATGTGGGCATTCACAATGGAACCTTCTTCTCCTGTAGTGAATTAACAGTGAGCATGTGACCAAACTGAATGATCTGATTGGCCGATGGTCACATGACTAGCACTAATTGCCCCTCCATAAGGACACCCTTTGTATCATTAATTAATATACAATACAGTATACACATCCGTAATTTTTGCATTTGACAAGCTGATTCTAGTATGATTACATGAAAACATGTTTATTTTACAGCAAATTTACAAGCTAATGTACATGAAGTTTACAGAATAAACAAGCCAATCTTACAAGCTGATTTACATGAAAACGGGTTGAGTTTACATGAACACAAGCCAATCTTACAAGCTGATTTACACCAAAACAAGGCACAATGTTAAGCATTTCCAAAAATGCAGAGTGAATCAATGTGTCTTACCTCCCATGACACCTTGATAATACTCTGTCCTATCAACCTCATGTTCTTTCAGGTTTCCATGACGATCCACCGAACGAACTTTGAACCCCGAGGAAAAAATGCGGTAGTTTGGTCTAAGATACAGCTGGAAATGCCTAATTGGAGAAAATTTAAAGAGGTCAGGGGTGGGGATTTTTAGGAAGAGGGTCTTCATACCGTTCCAGAGTGTGGAATTCTACCAGTCTGGAGTGACTGGGTTGTGACTGTGAGCCGTGGAGGGTGTGTGTGAGGGAGTGAGGATGGAGAGTGGTGTAGTGGGTGAGGGAGGGGGAGAGGAGAGAATGGAGCTCTGAATGGAGGGAGGGAGAGGGTGGAGGAAGAGAGGGGGGAGGGTATGTACTGAGTTAAATCCAAGTTGTGTAGCACTTTTGGACAAACCTTCATCGTATGGCTCCAGACAAGCTCCCGGAGATAGGAATAGCGACATATGGAGCGTCAGCAGCCGCAGGATACACGGCAAAAACTCCATATCCCCCGCACAACAAGACCCGACGACGAGCAAATTTTTGCTGAAGCAGCACCACAAGGGGGCGTGGCGTGTTGCGACCTTTGACCTCTTCAGAACCGCAGAACCGCAGACCCGCAGTCTAGTCGCTGCTGAGTTTTGCATTATGTCGTCCGGACGGTGAGCGAGCAAGAAGCCGGTTTCGGTGTGTTTCGCGTCTGCGTGTGTATTTTATCGTTGCGTTCTATTCGTCATTTGTTGCACGCGCGAGGCGCGCTTTATCCACAAAACGGCGCATTGCTCTGTTTTATAAAGTGATGTTTTCTTGTAAAACTGTTGTTGTTTCTTGTTCACGGGTCTCCAGGCGACACCCTGGAAACGTGATGAAGAAGATGGAGATAGAAGTAATATGGACGACTACGCTACTCTTATTATGGCTAGGCCACACTCTAGCTCTTGAAATACCAGGTGACTTAATATAGAAAGAGGGGGGGGGGGGGCATGAGACTGAGGAAAGGAAAATGAGAAAAGGAGGAGTTAATATGTTCATTCTGTTTTTTCGTGAAGAAAGAAGGAACCCGCGAGACAGTGTGTGCTCTTCCCTCTTCCACAGCTCACCACTCTTTACACGATGCACTACACCATTTCGAGGTCCTGCACGTCAGTCAACTCTCCCACCACTCCCCTCCTCACACCTCACCCCCTCACAACAAGGACACCATTCACCTCCATTTCAGAACACTAGACAGGTATATGGCTCCACTTATGTATGGCTTAATTGGCAGTAATCTTCACTTGGAACTTGTAAATCTTCCCCTCTCTCCCTCTCTACATTCTCCTTCCTTCCCTCTCTCTCTCTCACTCTCTCCTCTCTCTCTCTCTCCTCTCTCCCGTCATATGCAGAGATTTCAATCTAATACTGACTCCATCTCTATCAACTGTACACAACTCTCTCCACGTCACTATTGTAAGCAAGAGAGGAGAAGAGAGAAGACCTTTTCCGTTCACCCATTTCTACAACGGCTATTTGCTGGGTGAGCCACCTTTCTTTTGCATCACCGCACATTCATTAGTACCAGCTGCAATATGTTTCAACGAAAAGATGACTTTAGCTGAGAATAATATGCACACATGCTACGGTGTAAACTTCAACACGTGCTTATAATAATGTCCTACACCTTCTATATTAGACTGCAACCTATTAATTTTTTATAAAACTGTTGCATAATATTATGTACAGCTTGGAAAGTGAGTCATTTTCATCACACATTACATCACATGGAAGAGTTCAAAGGTCACACTGTAGAGGATTCACTTGCCAAAAATGTCATTATATTATATTACTGTATGTATGTTGTGTGAACCTATTGTACCCTAATTTACCATGTGTTGGAACGCTGTGCCTTTAATGTTGACCTAACAACAGATGTGTTATATAAGAAGGTATCATGGTATTGCAGGGTCACCTGATAGTCATGTGATAGCTCACCTCCAGCCTCAGTCTGGACTCCTCACTGCATCGCTGCACACTCCTACAGAGGTGTACTACGTGGAACCTTTGTCCAGGCACCTTCCCGAATCACATGACAGTCACATGATCTCGTACAAGCGTCCCACCTCAAATTTAACCTGACTGGGTGAGCGAGAAAACTGCATGGAGTGTTTTACCCTCCCTACCTACCGCCCAATCTCTCTCAGGAAGTCACTTCAACATTTCTGTGGTAACAATGACAGCACGTCTCCAGGGAAACTGACATCACCATGGAAACATCCTACTTCACAAACAAAGTCAATAGCAAAGGACAACCACTTCCTCTCTACAAAGGTAATGTGTTTCTGGAATCCAATTAAGAATTCAATGGTGTTTTTCCTGTTCTGGTTTGCAAATATTTACTGTTGAAAGCAACACCCCAATCACAAAGTAAGAATTGCACTGCGTTCTTCAGCTATAGTCGAGGTGTTCAGCATTGTTGGTTGGCCTCTCCTTCCCCAAACGCTCTTACTAAAAGTACGAAAAAGTTAGCCCCCGTAATTCCAAGATCAAACAATCGTCAAAGTAAGAATTGCACTGCATTCTTCAGCTATAGTCAAGGTGTTCAGCATTGTTGGTTGGCCTCTCCTTCCCCAAACGCTCTTACTAAAAGTACGAAAAAGTTAGCATCCGTAATTCCAAGATCAAACGATCGTCAAAGTAAGAATTGCACTGCATTCTTCAGCTATAGTCAAGGTGTTCAGCAGAGTTGGTTGGCCTCTCCTTCCCCAAACGCTCTTACTAAAAGTACGAAAAAGTTAGCATCCGTAATTCCAAGATCAAACAATCGTCAAAGTAAGAATTGCACTGCATTCTTCAGCTATAGTCAAGGTGTTCAGCAGAGTTGGTTGGCCTCTCCTTCCCCAAACGCTCTTACTAAAAGTACGAAAAGGTTAGCACCCGTAATTCCAAAATCAACCACCTTCATTTGGAGGTATATACTACATACTAAACTTTGCTCCTCTTGTTTGTCTTAATCGCCTGTAGCTTGGCTGGGGGGAGAAGCAGAGACTGAAGCGGGACCTGTCGGGCGATGTCTGCACTCTTCATCTTGTGGTCACCCCGTCCTTCCACAATCAGAATTCGAATGACCCCGACACCACCGCGCTGTTCCTGGTACTTTTTCTCTCTCTTCTTTCCTCTTATTTTACCTTTCTCCCTCCCCTCCTTCTCTCTTTATTTTACCTCCTCCTCTCTTTTCCTACTATCCCCTCTCTTCTCTCTCTCCAGCTAGGTTTGATCAGCGATATCGACAAAAACATATTCCAAGTGGCCAATTTTACTTCCAAGCGACCAAGACTAGGACTTTTCGTCACCAACGTATGGAGCACCATCAAAAGTTTACTTCCGCTAGGTCTGACAATCTTTTAATTTTTTTTCTGCCGCAGATCACAATTTATGAGTCAGTGACAGACCCCAGCACACCAGAGTATGCGAGAGAGAGAGAGAGAAACTCGGAAAGTCTGCTTAGGGTATATACCTATGTACACATACATACATACATACATTCATGTATGCAGTGAAACCTATATAATCCAGACACCAGTGGGACAGAAGAAAGTGTCAACATAAAAATAGTATTTCGGGGGTTAAATTGCATGCGAGAACTGTTCAAGGTGTCCATATTAGTGAGGGTCCTTTTTCGGAGGTTCAGTTGCATTCCATTTGAGAGAAAAGGTGTCCTTATTGGAGAGGTGTCCTCATTTCAGGGGTGACCTTAGCGAGGTGTGTAGGGTACTTGTACTCTAGTTCGGAGTGCATCGAACCTTCTTGAACAACTTCTGTGCGGAGAAAACAAAGTGTGTTAGAGATGGGCTCCACTGTATATCATTGTGCCATTAACTACTGTACTGAGGTATGTATGTGTACATACATACTACGTATGCCTGTATCCAAAGTGGTGTCTTTCTCCGACAGATATTCTCACAGGCAGACTGGAGCGACGTGTGCCTCGCCCATCTCTTCACTGCCGTACGATTTGACGACGAGAGACTGGGCGTGGCTTATGTTGCCAGCCGTAAACGTGACAACACCGGAGGAATTTGCTCACCTTGTAAGCCCTGGAGCCATTCTTTCAGAAGGCCACGTCAAAAAATTTACACGGGAATGTAATCAAATTTCCAGTGGGAAAAAATTGTATATAGGTGGGGGGTGTAATCTATTTCCCCCCTTGAAAAACCCCTGAGCAGCATGATAGAGGGGAAGAAACAAAGTAAGAAGAAAAAAGACTAAAGTTAAGAATGAGCGAAAGTTGAGAACGAGAAGAGGAAAGCAGCGGTTGTGTATATGTCTGAATGTTGCGTGATGTGTTCAGTGGTAGGTGATGACGTAATAGGAGGCCAGGAGACGGCGAATGTGGGCGTGTCCTCATTTCGTAACGCCAACAACAAACCCCTGCTCTTTGCCGAGGCACGGCTGGTCACCGCTCACGAGATTGGTAAAACATCTTCCTCCTCCTCATTCTCTTCCCCTCTCTCTCTCTTACCTCTCACAAAATAATGCTACAGTGCCGAAATAATACAGTGGAACCCCTCTAGTCTGGACGCAAAATGGAAAGAAGAAAGTGTCCATATTAGTCAGGTTTCCTTGTTAATTTGTGCACTAGAACTGTTCTTGCAAAAGAAAAGGTGTCCTTATTAACAGAGGTTTCCTTAGAGAAGGGTTCCACTGCTTCTCCTTCTCTCTCATCCTCCCTGCAAAGGTCACGGCTGGGGCAGCGAGCACGATCCGGGGGGGGGTCTCCGCTGCTCCCCTGCCCTCGGACGAAGTCAGGGCAAATTCCTCATGTTTCCGTCGGCAACCGACGGGGACCAGCGAAACAACGACATGCTGTCGCCGTGTTCCGTCGACATGATATCGGATGTCGTGCAGCGGAAGGGATCATGTTTCAAAGGTTCGACAATCAGTAAAAAAAATTAACAAATTCACTGAAGTTCTACTATATAGAGATGTATTACAGCCTAACATTTATATGGACACTTCCTCTCTCTCTCTCTCTCTCGTCCTCTCCTCAGAGAGATCCCAGCTGGAAGGTCGGTGTGGTAACTACATCGTCGACGAGGAGGGAGAAGAGTGCGATGCCGGGGCTCTCGGGCTGGTCGATAAGGACCCCTGCTGTACTGCAGACTGTCGACTCCGCCCCACCACACCCGATGGTGACACAGTGGAGTGTAGGTATATGCCACACCAATGGGACAGAAGAAAGTGTCCGTATTAGCGAGGTGTCCTGAGCATTATACAGTGGAACCTCTCTAATCCAGACACCAATGGGACAGAAGAAAGTGTCCATATTAGTGAGGCGTCCTGAGCATTATACAGTGGAACCTCTCTAATCCAGACACCAATGGGACAGGAAGAAAGTGTCCATAATAGTGAGGTGTCCTGAGCATTATACAGTGGAACATCTCTAATCCAGACACCAATGGGACAGGAAGAAAGTGTCCATATTAGTGAGGTGTCTTTATTTCAGGGGTTGAAAGAACTGTTCTCGGGGAAAGAAAAGGTGTCCTTATTAGAGAGGTGTCCTCATTTCAGGGGTTAAGTTGCATGCAAGAACAGTTCTTGGGGAAAGAAAACTTCGACTTTCTCTCTTTGTTTCGATATGCAGTGACGTCAACAATGATTGCTGCGAGAATTGCCGTGTTTCGGGTCCAGAATCGATGAAAGTTTGTCGGGCTAATGGTGAAGGAAATGCAAATGTACGTTACACACCCTCCAAAAATTTTTGACATCCACGTAATGCAGTGTCTCCGCAGTGTATTTTGTATGGGGGAGAAAGTTTGTCCGCAAGATTTGACCTTTGAACTCCGATATGTTGATGAGAACTCGACATGTGGGCAATTGTGTGTGTTTGTCATTGTGGCATAGTTTCAGTTTCGACTTGTTGTTCTGTTTGTTGTCGTTGTTTACAGGGGCCGATGTTTACCACCTCAGTCGACGTGTGATGTTGAGTAAGTCGGTGTAACTTCTTGGGTAGGGCGTAAAAAGATCAAAGATATGAGTGAGATAGGAAGAAAGATAAAAGTATATATGGAGCGAGACTGGAAGAAAGTCAACTGTTGCAGTAAAAGAGCTATTCACTTGCTTTTGCTTGTGTCTTTTTTCTTGACCTAAGACAGTGACAACAGTGTTCATATTTTGTTTTTGTGTCGGCTCCATACTAACATTATTTTTACTCTGGTTTACTGATATAATATAATGTGTCTTTCTTTGTCCCCGCCCCCCCCAGTGGTGATTGCATAACTCCGAGTGATCCTGATGTTCTCGTCTGCTACAACTTCTGTGAATGGCACGGACTGGAAGAATGCTTCTGTTCAGGTAAGGGGGAGAAAAGAGAGAGAGAGAGAGAGAGTAGACGGAAGAAATCTTAAGGGAGCGAGGGACGGAGTATAAAAAGGAGAAGACAAAGCGATAAAGGGATTAAAAGAGAGGAGAAGGTTAAGAAAGGGAGTGACTGTTGTTGTTCCGCAGGGACTGAGGAGTGTAAGTTCTGCTGTTCAGACCCAGACGCTGGGAACAAGATGTGCACTCCGTTCAACGACGTGTCGAAACCCGATCGCTCTTCCTGCATCGGAGGATTCTGTGATCACGTGAGTGGATCATGTGATCTTTACTGGTGGTCATGTGACGTCATGTGATCCACAGGGGGTGTGTGTTCCAGCAAGCCAGGATCTAATCCAGCGACTATTTGAACTCTTTGACAACCCATCTCTTAATACCTTTGGTTAGCCTTTACCATCAAATTTTTACCGTAAAAATATTTTAACGCCTTTTTTTTCTACAGTGGAGTTCATGAGGGAGAATATTGTTGGGACTATTATTATACTGAGTCTTTTGCTGTGGGTTCCTGCATCCTTCTTCCTCAGTGTATTTGTGAGTTTCAGTTTCTCTCTTTATTTCGAACTTGTTGATCTAAATAATGATGCCTCCCTCACCCCCTCTCAGGACGCCTATCTCTGGCGGAAACACAAGCGGGTCGCACGAGAGTATGAGGCAGACCTTCAGGACGCTGAAATGGAAGACGAAGACGATTTATTCAAGTACGACAACGTCTTCGAAGAAATGGAGCACAGCCAACCCGGCATTCTCAGACCGGAGGCTAAAATCGCGCTCATGAGGATGGATTCGGGAGCGAGCGACGATTATTTCGGTGGGGACGACCTGGGGCCTTTAACCCCTCGTGTGCCGGTCACGGCGTCCGACCCGTACAGCGGATTTTGGGAGCATAGACTGTCTACTATAACGGAGGAGTCTGCAGGGATTTTCAACCCAGAGAGAGACAATATTCATCTCTACAGCATCAGTAGGACACTGCGAGGATCAGGTGGCGAAGGAGCAAGTTTCTTACAACGATCGTCGTTTGACTCTGAATCTGCTGCCGGTACACTCGTGTAAAACGGCAAAATTACATGAAGTGATAATTCCACTGTGTTGCAATTAAAATCTATAGATTTTTGAAAGCACCATTATATAGCACAAAGATCACAACTATAATCATTTTGCATTTCACAAAAGTAATTTTGTATAATATTATACAACCACTACATATACTGTCAGCTCTTCAGTGCTGCTGCGTGATGACGAATGTGGTCTTCAACGAAACTTCCGATGAAATAGTAGCTATGATCGTAATCTTCTTGCATCCTCAGTATAACCGGCACACCGGCTTCCTTCGCACTCGCAACAAAATTCTCCGGAGCAGCTGCCCCGCGCCGAGGAAAGAGTCCGATTTGCCCTGGTCGATCAAAATGTACGAGAAATTCGGGCCGTTGTAGTTCTTTACGAGTTCTGTGGCGTCCCAGGCTTTCCACTGTTCGCGGTCCGGACCGAGATATCCGGAGAACGCTTTCTGTCCCCACGGGCAGTTGACGGGGTTGCAGATCGGCGCGAACGCGGACACGGAGCGGTATGCGCCTGGATTCTTCAGCGCGCAGATGAGCGCGCCGTGCCCGCCCATACTATGTCCGAAAATCGACTGCTTGTCCGGAACGACGCTGAAATTCGTCCGGATCAACTCGGGTAGCTCGGACGTTACGTACGAGTACATTCGGTAGTTGTTCTTCCATTTCTCTTCCGTTGCGTTTACGTAGAACCCCGCACCCGTACCGAAATCCCACGACTCGTCCTCTCCTTCGATGTTGCAGCCTCGCGGGCTGGTGTCCGGTGCAACGAGCAGCAGACCGAGGGATGAGGCTACTCGCTGAGCCCCTGCCTTCGCCACGAAGTTCTGATCGGTGCACGTGAGCCCGGAGAGCCAGTATAGAACAGGGACCTTTTCGCTCTCCACCTGCGGTGGGAGGTAGACGCCGATCCGCATACGGCACTTGAGCTCGCTGCTGTCGTGCTCGAAGACCTTCTGGAGCCCGCCGAAACACCTCGCAGACGAAACCTCCTTCAACGCTCCGGTCGCCATTTTGCGAAGTAGAGACGTCATTATGCGCACGCGCAGATGAATATCTCAATACGCATGCGCAATATCACAAAAACCACGTTGCGCGTTTTGCGGCAGGGTCCTTCTTCGTTTGTTCACCCTTTAGTAAGTTATCTACGTTTCTCAGGTTTTTTTAATCCTTTGCCGCATTCAGATTGTCTTTAAACCCCGTTACCCGGGCAATCCTTGACTCACGTGACACTAGCGATGGGCAGGGAAGACAGAACTACGTGGAAGGCGAACTACTTCACCAAACTCATCGTGAGTCTCCCTCCGTAATCTCGGAGTATCCGGGACTGCCGTCCACCCCCTGAACAGGAGCTGCTGGACACCTATCAGAAGGTGTTTCTGGTCACCGTTGACAACGTGTCCTCCAAGCAGATGCAGCAGATACGGATCAAACTCCGTGGGCGAGCCACTCTCCTCATGGGTGGGGCCAATCTCACTGTCTCCCTAAGTGTGGATCTCTCCCTTTACCCATATTCCTTTTCCCCGCCCCTTACCTCTTTTCCTATGCATGAAAATTTGAAGCAGCTTTGCCAGGTCACACACACACACACACACACACCACACACTTCTCTCTCTCTCTCTCATCGCTATCTCTCTCTGCAGGCAAGAACACAACCATCCGCAAGGCGATTCGTGGTCATTTGGAGCAGAATCCGCAACTGGAGAAACTGCTCCCGTGCATCAAAGGCAATGTTGGATTCGTGTTCACGAATGGCGATCTAGGAGAAATCAGGGATCTGATTGGTGAAAATCGAGTATGTGAAACATCTGAATAAGGAACACTAAAGTATCTTGTGTCTCTTTTGCATTTTTATCGTGTGCTTATATGGGGCTAACTCAATTGAGGTGTCCTTTAAAAATACACGACCACTAATCGTATTCTCCTGTCTAACCTCTCTTTTGCTTTCTCGTTCCCTCTCCTCTTCCTCCTCCTCACCTCCCTCTCTCGCTAGGTCCAAGCCCCGGCCAAAGCCGGTGCCATCGCTCCTATAAACGTTCACGTAGTGGCAGGCAACACAGGTCTCGGTCCAGAAAAGACGTCTTTCTTTCAGGCCCTGCACATTGCCACCAAAATCACACGTGGAACCATTGAAATCCTGGTGAGCAGCGTTTTCGTTTTGTTTGAGAGTCTTTATTCATTCACTCTTTCTCTGCCTTTCACTCTCTTTTTCCTTAACTCATTCTCTATTTCTCTCCCCCTCTTTCTCCCATCTCTCTCTCTCTCCTCTTTTCCTCCGTCCCTAGAACAATGTTCACCTGATTCACATAGGAGAGAAAGTTGGAGCCTCTGAGGCTACGCTTCTGAGCATGCTCAAGATATACCCCTTTTCCTACGGTCTGGAGATCTCCCAAGGTATGGAGTGGGCGTGGCCTTGTTTTGTGGGTGTGGTTCACGTGATGAGGAAGATGGAAGTATTACATCAGACGACCCAAAACTGGTGAAGCAAACCATTGCTGCCTTCCTTCTGAAACCACACCCACTTCACTTTTAGCCACACCCACTTCCTAGACTCAGTATAAGATTATACAAGTCCACAAAACAATTGAATATTAAGGGATGGCACAGATAGTGGATTACCCAAAAGTGTATACTTTGTTGATTCAAGTATAATATTATACAGCAGGCCACCACCACGTTTTGCTAATGCATTACAAACTATTGTATATACTAACACTCTACACTGTGGAGTGGAGTTACATGTCCGTACACTCTCCCCTGCTCTGCAGTGTATGAAGATGGTGCGGTGTTCTCACCCAACGTCCTCGACATAAAGACGGAGTACCTTCTCGAGAGGTTCATGGAGGGAATCGGGAGAGTGGCCGCCCTCTCTCTCCAGATCGGCTACCCAACTGTCGCCTCCGTGCCACATTCCATCGTCAACGGCTTCAAGAGGCTACTGGCCGTCGCCGTGGCAACCGACATCACCTTCCCCGAAGCCGAACAGGTAAATTATATATTTCAAACTTGTGCTCATGTGCTCTTATTACGGAGTCGTGTGGGGGAGTACATGTACTTTTGGTTCTTGATTGTTGAATTTTGATTCTTTTTCATTTGCTCGCCTTTACTTCATTCGTTCTTCCTTCTCTCTCCCCTCCCCTCTTCTAGGCTAAAGCGTTTGTGGCAGATCCGAGTGCCTTTGTACCAGTGGTCACCCAGACAGAGGCGGCAGCAGACGCGGGGGGTGGGGGAGGAGGAGGGGAGGAGGCAAAGGAAGAGAAGAAAGAGGAGGAAGAGGAAGAATCCGATGATGATATGGGCTTTGGTCTATTCGACTGATGATAGCGAAATATCAGTGTGATTTGCCCTGTGTATAGTAGTGGTATGCAATCTGATTAGGCTCAAAGAAAAGTCTCGTTTCTCAAGATTTACGAGCGCTGCAACTTCGGGTGAGAGCCGGATCCCCAATTTTACCAGCGACACTGAGCAAAACACGAAATCACACTGCATTTCTCAAAGAAAATGGCTATTATATTAACTATAATACCGAATCTATTAGCTACTGTCCATTGGTTCCACTCCACTCTTGCTGGTCGACGACGCAGCTGCCGGCAGAATGGAGGAGGAGTCTGCCTGAATTGACTCAAACAGTTGAGCCGTGTCCGCATTGGCTTTGATCTGTGCCACAAACTCCGTCAGTTGGGGACTTTTGTCTGCAAGAGAATAAGAGGAAGGTCAGGGAAAGGAAACAGTGGGTAGATAGGTCAGAGCTACGTGAACTTTGTCGTATATTATAGTAGCAATTATTACTGGCAATATCTTGAAACGTTTCGGTCTGTAGACCTTCCTCAGTCAACTTCATGATGGTGCGATAAATAGTGTTGCAGGTCCACCAAATTTCGTTAAATTACCCACTATCTCACCAATTTCATGAATTTTATGACGTCCAATTGAAGTGGTCAGAGTCAGAGTGGGCCAACCCTCAATATACAACTCTTGCCGGTTTTCCTTCAAATATGTTCTATAATTATAAATGTCCTTATAGAACAAACCGGCAAGAGTTTTATATTGAGGGTTGGCTCACTCTGGCTCTGACCCCTTCAATTATACAAAGACTATATATGAAGATTACTCATCAGACTGAAAATTCAGAAACTTTTTTCATTATTCTCCCAAAATGATATATACCCGGATCTTTCTCCCAAACGCGAGTCTTACCACTCTCGGGGATGGTGAGTAGAGCAGCCACGGCTCTCATGGCCGACCTCTTCAGTTCGTCTTGTTTCTCGAACTCCTGTTTTACAGAGTTTGCCTTGGCCTTGCCTTGTATGGTTGACCTCAGTGGTTCTATTAGCTTCTCTATACCTGTGTCAGCGGGTGGAGAGAACAGGAAATTAACACGGAGAGGAAAGAGGGAGGTTGTAAATCAGGATAAATCAAATAAATAAAGGTTTGGGTACACAGCCCCCTAAGAGGGTAACACAGCTAATGGGAGGAGGAGTGCGAAGAAGAAGAAGAAAGAAAGAGAAAGAGAAAAAGGCAGGGGAAGGGAAGAGAAGAGACTAACGTTGCAGTAATGCAGCTGGCCTCAGGTGCGACAGTCTCACTAGCAACAGAAACGTCAACATCTGCAGAAAATGGCATATACAGTGCTTCAAAAAAATGCTCAAAATGTCCTGAAACTAAAAATTAATGTGTCCGGAACTAGTATGTCCCAAAACCTGCCCGTCCTAAAAGGTGTTCTTAATTAAAACCATGTAAGTCCTGAAAACCTGTCCTAAACCTCGCCATGAAAACCTGTCCTAAACCTTGCCATGAAAGCTGTCCTAAACCTCTCCATGAGAACCTGTCCTAAACCTCGCCATGAAAGCTGTCCTAAACCTCGTCTTGAAAACCTGTCCTAAACCTTGCCATGAAAGCTGTCCTAAACCTCGCCATGAAAGCTGTCCTAAACCTGTCCTACGTCCTAAACCTCGTCCTGAAAACCTGTCCTAAACCTCGCCATGAAAGCTGTCCTGAACAACTCACTCTAATGTCGTAGTGGTCCTTGAGGCCGTCCTCGATGTGACTCAGGAACTGGAACACATCCAGCTGCTCCAGACACGTCTCCATCAGAGTGTACATGCACTCGAACGCAGCCTTACGCAAGTCCAGTCCGTCGTCAACTGTGTGTTTAAACGGCCCCATTTCCACCTCTCGAATCAGCTCTTTCTGCAAGAAGAGAAGGGTTGGAAAATTTAATAATACAACTGTGTCCTCTTGTGGAAATACAATTTTATCTTCGCGACAGTCCAAGCACATTGCACCACTAGCCTTTACGACTGTACACATACACTGAGTCACTCCCTCCCTCCCTCCCTCCCTCACCAAACTCACTGCGTCCTTACCCTGACTTTGGTCTCCTGGTAAAGGTTTGGTAGAATAGAACTGAGCAGGTCTCTTATCAGACTAGGTTTGTTGTGTGCCGCCGAGTTGAACGCTACCAAGGCAACCCTACGGACATTCTGGGTTAAAACAAAAACACACATTAAAACCCTCTTCTCACTGCAATTTTCAAATTAACCCCTTGTTTGGTTTACCCCTTTAACACGTCATATTTTTAACCATTATTTTACATATTCAATTGTATTCAGACAACACATTAACTCCTTTCCAAGTCAATTATTGAAATTGACCCCTGCACAAATTAACCCCGTTCTCACTAGGTCTGGATCACCGATGGTGGAGAGGAAATCTGCAATACACTCATGGAGGAGTGAATCTATGGGCTGTGGTTGATCTGAAATGGTGTACTTCAGTGCCGTCACAGCTGTCCCTCTCACATACGCTGACGGCGATTTCAAATTTGCCTGCAGATGGCAGAGAAAACTTTATATTTTCCCTTCATCACTTCTTATTTAACAGTGAGACCAGTCTACGGCAGACCCCCTCTCTCTAATGACACCCACCAAAAGTTGACACCTTCTAATAAGGATTTATTTCTCTAAGAAAGTTGCAGCATGGAATTTTAACCCCTGAAAGAAGGACGTACCTGACTAATTGTAAAACTGGTTAGTTGAGCGAACATTGAAGTAAATACAGTCACAATTAAAAACTGAGGACCTGTCAGCGAGGGCATTTGACTTTCTTCAGTACCCCTTTTTCTTTAAAATTCATTTGTCTCGTATGACACACACATCCCCCTCTCCCCCCTCTCCCCCTCTCCCCCTCCCCCTCTCCCCCTCACCTGTAGTTTCCCGAGGAGAGTGTGAGGATCGACGAGAGTTAGTTTCCCGACACACTCGGCCACCACGTTTCTCGTTCCTTCTTCGACGCTCTCGAAATGGGTGAACAGTACATCCCTTCACAGAGGAGAGGGTGAGACATACAGTGGCTAATCCGGACAAATGTGACAGAACGAAGTAGAGAGGTGTCCTCATTTCAGGGGTTGAATTGCATGCAAGAACTGTTCTTGGGGAAAGAAAGGGTGTCCTTATTAGAGAGGTGTCCTCATTTCAGGGGTTGAATTGCATGCAAGAACTGTTCTTGGGGAAAGAAAGGGTGTCCTTATTAGAGAGGTGTCCTCATTTCAGGGGTTGAATTGCATGCAAGAACTGTTCTTAGGGAAAGAAAGGGTGTCCTTATTAGTGAGGTGTCCTTATTTCAGGGGTTGAATTGCATGCAAGAACTATTCTTGGGGAAAGAAAGGGTGTCCTTATTAGTGAGGTGTCCTTATTTCAGGGGTTGAATTGCATGCAAGAACTGTTCTTGGGGAAAGAAAGGGTGTCCTTGTTAGAGAGGTGTCCTCATTTCAGAGGGGTGTCCTTAGAGAGGGTTTCCAGTTTTTCAGCAGCTCTTGCCATAAACTCAACCAGTAAGTACACCTTCTTCCCCAAGAACAGTTCTTTGATATAAGGGAGCCTCACTAATTAAATAGACACATTCTTCTGTCTCATTTATGTCCAGATTAGAGGGGTTCCACTGTACAGGCAGCTACATACACTACTAATGATATTCACGACCCACTTACCATATATGGGGTACAAGAGGTTTGAGAGTTGCGATGGCCTCGGGAGATATGTAGTGACACGTAATGACCTCCTTCAGCGAGTGGAGCAGCAGGTACTGGCGTTTCTGGTTTGACTGGATCTCAGACAGGATAAACGGGAGATAGGTCTGCAGATTTCCGGCGCTCACGCTGCCTGAATGGGGGCGATGTAGTTAGCTACTGCGAGCACGCCATTTTAAGGGGCCTAAAGAAGGGGTATGTAAACCAAATGCACAAACCACCAGGTAGGCGCACTTCGCTTGACATTAAATGGGATGGTACATTGTAAGGGCTAAATTTAGACACTACGGGACAAGAACACAATCGGTTTCCGTTTTTAGTACATTTTCTAAATTAAGCCATTACTAAAGTGCTTGTAACGCAGTGTAATTGTGTCGTCCATTGGGACGTGGAAAAGTTGAGCTGACCTAGAGCATACGAGGCAGCAGATCTGACGTCCTCCGATTGCGATCCAAACACGTTGAGAATCTCCAAATGGACTTTACCAATGGTGCTGAGGTCACTGAGGAGGGGAGGAGGGGAGGAGGAAGAGAAAGAAAGGAATGAGGAGGGAGGGGAGGAGGAGAGGGAGGAGAAAGAGAGAGAAAGAAGTGAGGGGGAGGGAAGGAAAAATAGAATAGAGAGTCGACAAAATTAGCAGAGACAGATCACTCACTTGCTCTTCCCAATCTCTCCGAGACAGAGTAGTGACAACATTTTGACCGAGTCTGGACTGGACGGATTCTGCAAAGTCACAGAGTGAAGTAAAATCACATTAATAATTGATGGTCAATTAATTGTTGTTGATAAAAAAGCAGGTTTAGAGAGATAAAAAATTTTAAATGTTTTGCTCGTATTGAGTACCTTGACATCGGAGATGAATCTCTGGACAGTGGGGATGATTTGGGCGGGGCAGGACTCGCATATGGCGGCGATACACATGGAGAGGGAGCGGTAGGCCTGGCGATGTAGGGTGGAGGGAGGGGGCGGGGCTGCCCCGCCCGACACCGCCGATCTTCCCCCTCCGTACACACGACTCGTCAGAAGCTGTGAAACAAATGAGACAATCTTTTTAGCCATTTGCAACAGTTTTCTCCAAATGATGTGCATTTTGATCTATATCCATACACCTCCTCAAAATTTTCAAGCTAAGCGCCATGGTAACAGAAAAACACACAAAGACATACCGCGAATATCTCGTCAAAGCCAAGTCCAGGGAGTTGAAGGGTGACTAGTTTGGCGAAGAAACTGAGGCAAGCTGTCATGGCCGATCCTTGGAGTAGCGATGATAGAACGAGAGAATGAATGTTTGGGAGAATGGCCTCGTGGATCTGGGACAGAGAGGAATTGGAATTAGACACGAACTGGAACGGGAATGGGACTCACTTCTCTGATGGAGGAGGGGCTGATGTTCATGACGGTTCCGAGGAGGGTGAGCACTAATTGGGATATGTGTAGGTCACCGTCACTGATCAGTACTGCTAGTTCGTCCATCACTGTCTTGTAGAGAGCTTCGTTCATGGCTGACGCTGGAGAGATGGAGGAGGGAGAGTAAACAACATTTACACTCAACTTTCCCCTCCAAAGTTCCCAGTAAACATACATTATGACTCACTGTAGTTCTGAAAGAAGGCGTTGAGGCAGTTGAGGGAAGCCAGTTTCAAATCTCGATGGTTCTTTCGGAGATAGCCAGCCAACAGTGGTACACAGTCAGGCTGTGTCAGAGAGGTGTAGGCACATACTACGTTATGTAGCCACTCAAATTTTTAACTAGTCACTAAAAATATTTAGGTACCCAGTCACTAAAATTTTTAGGTACGTGAGGTTATGAAACTCAATTTTGGGGAAGGTTTCTGGGTGAAACCGAGACACTCCATTTTTTGAGGTTTAAAACTTTCAAACCGAATAAGGATAATATTTTGACTCACCAGAATGAAGTTGATGTCAATTTTAAGTGGCGATCTGAGAAGATAAATTATTTTATTACAGAAGCTCAAAAATTTTCCCGGGTGCCGTGGTAACATACCTAGCAACGAGGGTGACAGCTCGTACAGCCGTAAGTCTCGTTATTTCATTCCTCAGTCTGTCCACAAATATGGGGAGACACTCGGACAGCTCCGCTTCGAGGGCGTCTCCCATGGAGGCAATCACCTGACCCCTTCAGAGATCATGTGACAGTCACATGACACACAAGGGCAATTTGTATTGTGTGTATACATGTATACAGAAAGATTTCTGCTGGGGAGTGAGTGTCTCACATGACAGTCACATGACACTCACATGCACGTGATGGCTCTCTCCTTGACCTCTTGATCAATGTCAGCTGCTCTCAGTCTTTTGAGGGCAGACGAGTAGATGGGCTGGACGTACGGGATGGAAGTCAAATTTACAGGACCCATCTTAGAGGGGGAGGGAGGGAGAGGGAGGAGGGAGAGAAGAGAAAATCAAACCAAGACTTGGTATACAGTGGAACCCCTCTAATCCAGACACAAATGGAACACTGTAAGTGTCCATATTAGTGAGGTGTCCTTGTTTCCGGAGTTGCAATAACTGTTCTTGAGGATCCTTTATTAGAGAGGTGTCCTTAATATAGAGAGGGGTCCCACTGTGTATAGTTATATATAGCTGATTAATTGTCCTGATCAGTAAGGGTTCAGCAAGGCATCCGAATGAAAGAGTTGTCTTGAAATCGAAACTAACCCGAACTAGTATTTATACCTAGAGGTCTGATTGTCTTGACGATGAGGGTCAACACAAGTAGAGCCTCGGACATGATCTTGTAGAAACTGTCGTCAACGGCAACCACCACTGCCTAACAACAATAAGATCACATGACATCACCTGAGAAGTCACGTGACCTACTGGCACGATGGCCTGAATGTGCGGGTGGAGCGAACTTGAAGAATGCTGACCCAGCAATACGCTCAAGAAATTCAGTGCGTCGATCTTCATATTCGACGACGACGTCTGATCACTACATCACATGACCTCACGAGACACATCACATGACAGTCACATGACCTACTTGAGGGAGTACAGTATCCCGGGAACTATTGCTCCAATGTGTTCGTCCAGTGCCCCGGGGAGGACGGACATGAGGGAAGTGAGGAGGGAGAAACAGCTCTGCCGAGTCTTCGTCGATTTATCTCTCATCTGCTTGTGGAGGGACTTTACGATGCTCGGGACTTGGGCGTGGAGGAGAGAGAGGGGGCTGGGGGAGAGGAGAGCGAGAGAGAGGCAGGAATAAGGTCTGGTTACTGAGGTGTATATTGGTGGTGCAGTCTTAATTTGGGACAACACGTGTAGATTTACTCATTGTTGAGGCATACATGTACTAACTATAATTATATAGCCACCGTTTTTTGCCTATGGATATTCACTCTTTTAGAGAGTTAAAGAGATGGGACAGCAGGTAGGTACAGTAGATGGATAAGACAGTAGTTTCAGTTTCAATAAGGTAGTGTACCTCTCAGTGACCTCCATGGACTCCAGGTCAGATAGCTGAGACCTGGAGAACGGAGTGGTCGAGGCAAGCAGCGCCTGGTACGCAGCAAATATGTCCACCTTCACCGTGTCCTCACGCTCTGGTACAAAAACATCGGAATGAGACACGGGAAATTAACATATTATATAAAGGAACAGCCGTCAAACGCATAGTATGCATGTTATTGCATTACATTTTAAAGGTTAAAAATGTGTCGTCTGACCTTTGAACCTAGCTATAAGAAGAGGGGAGACGTTCTTGTAGAAATCTGTGAGCATTTCGGGTCTTGAGCCGAGAGCAGCTGCAAGACACTTTGCAGCTGCCCGCCTCACTTTCCAACTGACGTCATCGTCATCACTGTACTCATCGTCTTCCCTGGGAGGCAAAAGGTTAAACTGATTATTCCCGAGATAAGCAAAGGGTTAAATAAGTTAAAGAGAGGGTATAAGCAACCATAGTTACTCAAATGAAATTTAGCTCTAATTAAGTGAAAATGTTTCAAATTTTCACAAAAATGATGTTCTATTTGAGTGAATAAAATTTCGAACTAACTCTTCGTAGTCTTCTGCATCCATGTCGTCGTCGGCAACGGCCTCTTCGTCGTCAGAGTCGTAGTTGTAGTTTGGATCATGTGACAACATCTTTAGCGACACCTCAACTATCTGGATCATCAGTTGGGGAGAGGGGGAAGGGAACATGAAACATTAGCAAACAGTATTTTCACAATTGTCAAGGGGCAAAAAGGATATCAGTTTATACACTTGACAGAATAAATTTTGCTATATACCCATGTCAAAATTTCTGAGAAGCAAAAGAAATTTATGTGGTTCAAATTTTTGCTGCATTCACACAAAACTGTAACAACCAATTAGAACATGAATAATTCATGAGACAAAAGGGGAACTGTACCTGGGGAATGTAGGGAGTGACCTCCCTGAAGCATCGGCCGACAAGAGCCTCGAAGGTTTGGAGACCAGATTCTTTTAGTTCGTCGTCGCCCTCGGGAGACGTGATGAAACTCATGATGAGAGGGAACATTGTGGGGAGATAGGAGCCCACTCTCTGGCCTGCCTGACGACTGGGGGAAGAGAGAGAGAGAGACAGAGAGAGGGAGAGAGGGAGAGAGAGAGAGAGAGAGAGAGAGAGAGGGTAAAATCCCTTTATTCAACGGTGTTCTTCACTAATGGATTAGGATGGGGCAGAACCAAGTGTCCCATATTGGTATATACCACTGTTTCTTCCTGACCTGATGGCTCCAATGGCATGGATGTAAGTCCTGATATTGATCTGGCTCTGCGGCTGGGTCTGAAGGCCCTTCTGGAGCTGGAAGACAACTGCCTCAAACAGTGACTGCTGGCAACATCCACTCACATAACCTTCAGGAAAGTGAGACCACCACTCATTACTATATACAGTGAACCCCTCTCTAAGGACACCCCTGAAATAAGGACACCTCACTAATATGGACACTTTCTTCCGTCCCATTGGTTACTTTAAACCAGCTTTTGTCTGCAAGTTGCAGCTCTGTGCAAATTTCGTACTTGCAAAAACTTGGGGAAAGAAAAGTTGTCCTTATAAGAAAGGTGTCCTCATTTTTAGAGAGGGGTTCCACTGTATTAAACTCACAGAGAACGGTGTAGGCCCTCTTTCTGACGGACACTGGTTTCGGGTCGACAAGAAGGGGCATTAGTGCCTTGACGAGAGGGTCGTGGAACGGAGCGAGGGAGTTGCCATAGGAACGGATGAGGTCGCTCAGAATGTCTAGTGTCTCTAGCAACACGTACTGATTGAGGTCCTGGGGGAAAGAGAGGGAGGAGGACTGAAGTGAAATAGAAAGTGAGGCTGATAGATTTCTAACTTCCACCCCTAAAAATTCCGCCCATACAAAACTTTTAATGCTCTACCCAAATTTTGGGGCACCCTCAAGTCAAAAAAATTTTTTGGGTTTCAGACAGTCAAAATTATGTATGTACATGTACATACAGGTCTTGTGATGGCCTCCACCAGGCGACCGGTGATGTTCCGCGATGCGTTGGCCACAACATTGCGAGGTGTCTTTGAAAATTCAGCTATGACCGTCTTCAGACCTGTCGGGCATGTAAAGACTGTACTGACTGTACTGTATATGATACAGTGGAACCCCTCTCTTATGGACACCTCCACAAACCTCTCTAATAAGGATACTTTTCTTTCCCCAAAGGTTTTTGGGGGAAATTCCAAAGTTTACTTCTATGGTAGTACGGAATATTGGAAGTATTGGTATGGGATATTGGGAGTATTGGAATGGAATAATGGGAGTATTGGAATGGAATAATGGGAGTGAAACCCACCGACGCTGGAAATATCTCTGAGTCTTTCGTCGTCAGAAAACATGCTGGTGGAGAGAGAGTTAATGATGACCTCTGTCTGACTGTCCTTCACTTTCCGAACTAGCGGGCCAAGGCTTGGGAAGAGGAAGGGGGTAAGGAAGAGAGAGGAGAAGAGAAGGGAGAGGAAGACAAGGGGGAAGGGGGAATAATAAAAATATGAGCGTTTTAGGAAATTAAAGAGAGAAATAAGTTTTCAAAGTGAACGACAATTCACATTTCAGAGGCATTTAAGGATGAGGATATGGGCAAGTAAAGCATTCTGCAGAAGAGCAAAAAAATTTGCTTTTAAAGCATTTCGGAGACTCAAAACACTGAAGGTCTATAAGAACAGAAAAAGTCAGTTCTGAAGGTCTACATTTGTGAGCCAGGGAAGGTAGAGAGAATAATCTTTACCACTTCACGGCCAGGTTCTGAACCTCTCCGTTCTTGTCCTCCACCAATTTGAGGACACCCTGTACCACCTTCCTCTCGCTGTCGTCGTCCAGCTTTATCGAGTCTTTCTGCAGCTCAGTCATGAGGTCATTCGTGGCCATGAAACGGAAGTCCTTGTCCACAGAATTCATCTGCACGTGTGTGTGTGTGTACAACAAGATATACAGTGCGATGGGGAAGAGTTAGTTAGTTAGTGGTGAGTTTCATTGCTTATAATCTTCCTGCTACGTGGTGTGCTGAACACAATAATTGCATGTGAAAGCTAAGAGTAGGCACAACAAACAAATCAACTACACCTCTTTTTTAAAAAGAGAGACCCACAATTTGATGAAAAACTCCAGCTTTGTAACCATATAAACGGCCTTGGCAGAGGCATTGGCTTGAAAATGCTTTAAGAACCTTTAATGGGTTTTCGATTGTTCAATGAAGGGAATTTTGTCTTGAAAAAACGGGAAACCGAGGTTGGCAGTGGGCGGTTTATTCAGCTAATTGGCAACGAGAATGGGTCAGTGCAGCCTTGTGTTCAGTGCCAATGGTGGTACAATGGACACTTGAAAAATCAGGACACCTCAATGATCAGGACACCTCACTGATCAGGACACCTCACCGATCAGGACATCTTACTCTGGTGTCCTGATTAGCGGACACACAACATACAGCTTCAAAAAATCTCTTCTAAAGGCATGCGTCTTCTGAACCTTGTCCAAAAGAGACGATATGTGGTACGGTGAGATCGCCATATTCTGGAGCTTCTCCCTTACTGCTCCTCCTCAGCAAACACTGCACAGATCAGGAAGAGAGAGAGAGACAGAGAGAGAGGGAGTCCCGTTTTGTCCAGATGATGTCGTGAAGGCTCGATCAGCAGCTAGGGAAGCAACGATGGTTGTTAGCAGACAATCACACACCAGCAAACTTGCAGTTGCATCCACACAGGTCGTTCATACTCACATGTGACAGCTTCAGTCAGTGCACCGTCCAGCTATTTTTCTTGTAACTATCAATGTACGCGACCGCTCGTGCACCTCTGGACGTATGACAAACACGCAACTGGCATACCTCGCTCCTTTAGGGTCGCCAGAAGAGCCCAAAAAGCTCAGAGACACTTGAATCTCCAGTATAGAGCTAGCTTTCTCGGGTCCGCGTGAGGGTCACGTGATTACGAGTAAGCATAAAAACACGCCCACAAGAGAAGAAACAAGGGAGGAGGAGAGGAAGGTGTCAGGTTTTGCGGCGGGATCATGGCCGAGGGAGCGTCAGTCGACCAGCCGACAGAACTAGAGTTGTCAAACGGAGACTTCGACGCTCTCTGCACGCTGGCGAAGGAAGGAAAAGTCGACGAAATATCAAAGTTGGTGGACAGGGCGTTGGAGTTGTGTTTGGGGACCCGAGTGGTGGGGAGACGGACGTTCTGCCGAGACCCCAGCCACCAGAAGCCAGTTCCGCTCGTGGTGGCGGCCCAGTACGGCAAGAAGAAGGTGGTACAGTACTTCTGTGAGCGGTACGGAGGCAGATTGGACGTAAACCAGGCGGCGACAATCGTCTCTCTCACGACCAAGAAGAAGGTCCACTGCGCCACGGCACTCTGGGCAGCCAGCACTGGAGGTCACCTGGAAATAGTCGAGTATCTAGTCTCGCAGGGAGCCGACGTCAATAAGCCGACATTGACGCAGTCGACTCCGCTACGCGGCGCCTCGTTCCACGGTCATATCAAGGTCATGGAGTACCTGCTGAGCCGCGGAGCCGATATAAACACACCGAACTGCATCGGTCAGAGCCCGCTCTGCATCGCGGCCATGCGCGGACAGCTCGAAGCCCTCCAATTCCTCGTCAGCAAAGGCGCTGATATTCACCAGAAAACCATCAACGGGTACTCGGTCGTTCATCTAGCCGCGACGAAAGGACGCGTCGACATCGTGAAGTTTTTGCTCGGTGCGGGGATATCGCCGCTGTTTCTGCCTGCGCAGCCGTTCAACAGTGACTACATCCCTTGTCCACTCTTTCTCGCGGCCTCTACCGGCCAGAGAAAAATGGTCGAAGAGCTCATACAGCACAAGGAGTGCCCAGCGGCGTGCAAGTCGGATGCCTATCTCTTGCTCGGTGCCACGAGATGCGAAATCAGTCCCCGCGGGCTCACCATGACCTCACGAGAAATGTGGACGAAAAGCCTCACAATTCGCGAGGAATCAAAACTCGAAGTTCAGTTCATCCCGCCCAACGAAAACTACGGGTGCAGGGCTGAAATGAGAGACCTTGAGGAGCTGCACACGCTCGCGCAGGAACCAAATTTTTCCCGGCACGAGGCTTACTTCCAGAGCCTCATAATCCGCGAGCGCTGCATGGGCTACGGCGACCAGGGACTCATCTACTTCCTGATTCGCCGGGGGCTTTGGTTCGTAAATCACAACCAGTTTCAGGAAGCCGAGCGGCTGTGGTTCCGCGCCATGGACATGGAAGTCCGAGTGTGCGAAGTGGAGATTGGCAACTCTAGATTCGGTCACTCGGAGGGACTACAGAGAGACTTGGAGAAAGATCTGTCGCAGTACGCCTGTGGCATATGGCACATGGTCCACGAAGATTACCGCCCCAACTTTGAAAAATACGTCGAGTTTGGTTTCAAGGAGTTGGAGATTCTGCAGTGCCTCAAGGAGAAATCCGAGACGGCACCGTTTATCGACACGCTGTCGATTCTTGCAATACTCATCTACATTTTTGCCTCCTGGGTTTATTATGATAACCGGGACGACCACGAAGAGCGAGCGGATGACACTTACGCCTCAGTATCCTGCAACAGATACGGCCGGCAATTTGTAGAGAGACACTTGAACACGGCAAAAGGATCGTCGCTCCTGCATCTCTTACTCTTGAATATGCCCATATTGGAAGAAGACGAAAAACTACTCGATAAATACCCAGACTTGACTAATCTAATTAATGCCCTCCTCCAGTGGGGTGCAGACGAAGCCATAAATATGCCAGACGAGAACGGCATTCGACCGATCCACTTGGCAATCGATCTCGCAAACAAGAACGAGACGGAAGACTCGCGCGACACTCGGGAACTAGTTTCTCCTCTCATTGCAGCTGGAGTGCACCTAGACGCTGTGAATCGATGCGGGGAGACGATTCACTTCATTTGCTCCAATGACCTTGTCAAAGTGGTTCTCTATTCAAACGGTCCCCTGCCGTTGTACTGTCAGACGGCGACGAGAATTGTTGCCGAGGGGATTCCATACAAGGATGTTGGTCTACCGGTTCACATAGTGGAACACATTGGTCTCCACGATCGAAAGGCAATAGTAATACCTCCGACATGATGATGTTTTCCTCCGCATTTTTTTTACACAGTGTCACATGTGACGGCATGATTTTTTAACTCGCTACTCAAATATTTATCAGCAATTTCTGCGCATGCGCTTTGTGTTTTTTACGTGCACGCATGCGTAGATATATCGACGAGACGCGACGCGCGGTAAAATAAAATCGCGCAGCAGCATAATGCCGGTCGACACTTTCTCCCAGATTCGCTCTCTCCTGGAGAACCAGCAGAAAACAGCGTGCGATACTTTCCGAAACGATGCGAAAGTGATTACGCGCAGCCGCGGGACCTTCGTGACGGGGAGACCAGAAAAATCGCTCGACGACTACAAGAGACGATGGCGACACCGTCACACCGGATTCGACTCTCTCCCGCACGTCCCCTACAAACCTTTCGCAGACCTCAGACACACGGACGCTTACACTCTCGTCGCCGACACGTGGGGACTTTCGCTGGATGAGGAACGCAGCGCAGGAGAAGCTGTAAATAGCTAGTGAGTCATTGATGCGCCTACGTCTTCAGTCTATTTCTGCAGAGTGGGAGTGCCAGTAATAAAGACTGCGCCCGAGTTCCAAGCTATGTCAACAGCCATCACACAGTCAGAATCCGGAGCTTACAGTTTGTATGATAGTTGTGTTAGCTAATTTTCGAGGGAGAAATTCGGTTTCAGGGAAACCTTGCAGAGAGAAAAACTTCGAACCACTCACAAACCACTTCTCCTTTGTAAATATGTTTGCAGATCCGAGTGGTAAGGGACGGGAAGGAGAAAGGCAGCAAGACCTGGTCCAGGACTGCCGGTCTCTCTGCCATTCAGCTTCAACTCAACTCCTCCGCTAGGGCCGTCAGAGAAGTGGCCGCGGGCTCCTCTTTCTATGATACTCTGCCGCGGGAAGAGAAGAGAAAGGTAACAAAACCTAGAGCTACTATCTATGACATAATCTATACTGTCCCCAAAATGTTACATATTTCTGCAAGTTATACAACCATGTCATCACTTGCCTGTTTTAGTCTATGAATCTTCTTTTTTTCAGTGTTTCCTGCACAAAATGAGAACCCCAAGACAAATTACTCGGCGAGACGGCGTTTGTGTTCCGGTCCACAATCCTTCGATCTTTCTGTCTCTTCTGGTCAACACTGCAGCGAGCAAGACGTGTCTCGCACCTCACAGGCCAGCCGTAGCCCTGCAAGTGGCTCATGGGGAGGAGGATAGCTCCCCGCAGAGGGCTGGAGAAGCAGGGGAAGAGGTGGCTCCCAATGCCTGCCAAAGGGTTGGGCCAAACATGCAAGTAGCTATTGCAGCAGCTCACTTCAAGATGAGTTTTTCACACGGACAAAAGAAAGAGATCAGGTTAACTTTCTCTGTGATCATAAATGACTCCTAGCTAATGCTGATACATATATATAGTCCAGCCAAGAAGCTGCAGATGAGGTATTGCCTGGTGAAAATGAAAACTATATACTTCGTCTTGTGTTCCATTTACAACATGAAGACAAAAGACCTCAAAGAAAAGGTTAACCAAAAATAGCAGTGTATTGATGACAGCTTCATGTATTACATCACTGTTGCTATTTTTATAGCACCCGCTGAGTTTGGAAGCCATCAAGCAGATGTCCGTGAAACCTCTGCCGCACAAAGAAGGCACTCACCACCACAGCCACAAGCTCACTGCCCACGCACACAATGGCCACACTTCATCTTTCCACTTCCACCGACCAAGGTAATAATGACGCGCTGCCATCAATCTGGAACAGTAATAAGAGAGCCAATAACTGTATGTAGGCCTGTGAGTCTTTTAGTAATGTTCAATCCAGTCTTATATACACTTAATTTTTATGGTTCATTGTCCTTTATCAACTGTAGCTACACTTACATGCATATCTGGTAGCTAGTAGAAACTAGAACTGATTCAAGCAAGTGTTGCATGTTTTGTGCAGCAGAAGTTACACAACCGTAAAGACATGGGAGGATCTACTGGCAGTGGAGAAAGGAGGCCCACCTCCAGCTGCAAACAACCACAGGGACCCCTCGTGCCAGCTGGATAGGGTGGCACCCTCGGCTCATCAAACTCGACCTCACCACAGGCAAGTCTTGTCAATGACAGAGGGGAGACTTCCAATGCATTGATACTAGAGTGATACTTGGACAATGAGGGTATATAGTGTTCCTTTGAAAAAAGGGAGATGTTAATTTGGAAACTTTTCAGGGCAAGTCATAATGTATACAGTTGAAGCTAGCAATTCCAATAGCATGTCATCTTCCCACATCTAATGATAGGGTCATACCTCCCTGGCAGAGGCAAGTGGTTTTCGTCGAAAGCAATGAAAAAAGGTACACAAACTTGCACAAAGTAAAACAGCACACATGATCTCTATATATACTGCATCTCTCACCGAACAGTAGTGATCCAGCTGTGGTGATGGCAGAGTGCCTACAGGCCTTCCAGACGGCCAAGAACCAAGTGTCTGAGCAGACGAAGGCCGTGCTGGGCAAGAGAGAGGGCACCAGTGTCCAGGCCCTCGGTGTGAAGGCAAAGGAGCTGAGACTTGGGGTGGACCGCGAGAACTGTCTCAGAGAAATGAGAGAGATGGCCTACAACATTAGTCGCACTAACAGAGCCAACGAGCACACGCCAGCTTGGTAGGATGTGTATGTAGCTATGTATAATACAGTTTATTCTCTATACAAGGTTATCCAGGTCTAAATTACACTACAATAAAATGACTTTATGGGTTGAACAGTTTGTTCCAACGATTATAAATCGACAAACTATTGAGCTCTATTGTGTTGAGAGAATGATGCCGTTAATTAAAGCTCCCTGAGAAGGTTACGATGTATGGTCTTGGTGTATCTGACTAGCTGATGGTGTTGTTCAGGTACACCAAGTTGGAGAAGCAGGTGGCGGTCACGTTCAAGCCAGGCCTGGCTGGCAGTGACTGGCAGCTGGACACCTGGAGGACCGTGGCAAAGTGGTTTCTTCAGAGACTCGAGTTTTTCATTTTCGTTGACTATGACGCAATACCCAGAGCTATGGTTAGTAAGATTATGGTAGAACCCTTCGTGTGCACAAATGGAAAAGAAGAAGGAGATATCCATTATTTTTTAGATGTCCTCCTTTTTAAATTGCATCAAAGAGCTGTTTTGGGGAAAGAAAAGATGTCTACTTATTAATTAGGGGTGTCCTTAAAGAGCTGTTTCACCGTATAACCCTGTTGTACTACATGTTTTCAGGAGAAGCTGTGTCTGTTGGTGATGTCCATTCCTCCTGATCAGCTGTGCCTCACTCCTGTCCTAGAGTCAATTCAGGTTCGACAACTGCATATATAGTATGCAGACAATAATGAGATTTGTCCAAAATGTGGGTGTGGATATTTTTTAACCAGCAGTCTGCAGCTTTTCCTGATTTATGCGACTATATACTAATCTCACTCTCCCTGTAATGCAGTATATACTGGAGGAGGTGTTGGAGCTACCGGGCAAGCTCTGCAGACAGTGGTTGGAAATGAGAGGACTCTCCGTGATTGGTGTCCCTCTCCCGTCAAAACCCATCGTCGTATTGGGCTTGACTGTCTAGATTAAGAGCGAGGGCACATTTTGATAACCATTCATGCACAAGTTTTCAATTTGTGAAAGTGCATGTAAGCCAGCTTCATATCTTCGTCGTTCCATCATCATGGACGTTGCATCACATCTATTGTGGTATTCTCACTTGAAGTCAGCAAAATATTTTCTTCACAAGAATGTTAACAGTCATAGAAGTATATACTGCTGTCCAATCCAGTGTACTCAGATCAAAAGTTGATGATCCTCGGCAGTCTTTGGCTAAGTCAACTCGGCATCCAGTGCTCCGCCAGTCAGTGAGAGAGATGCAGCAGCTACAGGTAAAGTTCTCCCAGCCTGACAGAGGATCTTTAGCAACTAATAATCTTTAGTCAGATCAGCAGCATCAGGCATTAAGTCAGTATATTATACTCCACTCAGCTCCAGTTTCAGTCTTAGCAGCAGTCAGTGGTATAGATGCACCGGTAAGTTTGACAGAGGATCTGATGGTGAAGATCTCGACAGAGGATCTTCAGTAAACAGCTCAGCATCAGCCACTTTGTCACTGCTCCACTCCACTCGGCTCCAGCTTCAGGAGAGGGAAAAATAGAAAGTGCCTTTAGGCAAAGTAGTCGCCTTTTAGAAAAGACAAGCATCTTCAGAACCATCAGAGAGAGACATTTTCCACTGTGGAGAGTAAACTTTTAGTTAGGGATAGATGCTATATAGGAGGCTGGGAGGGTAAGGTTTAGAGCCAGTCACTCACCCAGAGGTGAGTTGGCTGACTCAATGCGACAAGTTTGGTTGCCTGGCATGACCTGTGCAGACTTTGACTGCACGGGAGATGTCAGGCGTAACGGCCAAAACCCACGCGAAGGTATTGTCGCATCTTTGGCCCCCTCCCTCCTTCCCATTCTTGCGCGTGCAGCACCTAAGGCAAAGCCCGAGGTCATGCTGTCTATGAAGGCTCTTCTACCGTAAGGCTTGCGTTGAAGGCTAACGCAGGCTTGTCTAGAGGTCGGCTTCACCACATTGACAACACGACTCCGTCCGGAATGCACACGTCGCTGCTCCCCTCTCGTTCCGCTTCCCGATTGCACCGCCTCACGACCAGTGCGGGGACGACTCTCTCTCCTCCCGTCTCCTCACGGACTCCCTCAGTCTGCCAGCTCTCTCTCCCGACAGAGATTCTGCGTTCCAGGGTCTCCTCTCCGACATCACTCGTTACACCACAGTGAAGATGAAATGAAGATGACAACAACCTTGAAGACCCGGGAACCTTGAAGACCAGAAATGAAGACCTTGAAGACCCAGACGACCTTGAAGACCCAGGCGACCTTGAAGACCCGGTGATGAAGGTGAGGTGAGGTGAGGTGAGGTGGTGTAACGAGGGTCGGAGAGGAGACCCTGGAACACAGAATCTCTGCCGGGAGAGAGAGCTGGCAGACTGAGGGAGTCCGTGAGGAGACGGGAGGAGAGAGAGTCGTCCCTGCACTGGTCGTGAGGCGGTGCAATCGGGAAGTGGAACGAGAGGGGAACAGCGACGCGTGCATTCCGACCGGGGAGGCATCGAGAATGTGGTGAAGTCGACCATTTCTAAGAGGCTCGATGAGGCTCGATGAGGCTCGATGAGGCTGGAGAGGAAAAAAGAGAGCAAGTTAACATGCAGCAATGTTACCAGTGGAGAGGTAGTGACATCTTCTGCAGCTATATTATAGGAAACCAAGCATGCATTAGGGGCATCAGAAGAAAACGCATGCAAGGCTGGCCTATGGTAAAACGCATGCAAGGCTGGCCTAAGTGTTTACCTAGGTCCTACTTAGAACCTACAGGGAAAGAAAAAGAGTTAACAAATGAATGTATAATGCATACATACAATAATAAATATAAAAATAAATGACGATGAGTAAAAAATGATGATGAATAAAAATAAAAATACAAAAATAAAACAGAACCCTCCTCAAACCCGCCTCAAGGGCAACCAACAAAAAATTACCGGCATCCATGGATGAGTCGTCGAGTCGACGGGTCGATGGGTCGATGGGTCGATGAGTCGTTGAGTCGATGGGAGTGAGGTAGATCCAGCTCCGTCTGTGTAACAGAAAACAGCAGTTTGGCGACATCATCTCGGAGATATAGTCATAATAGTTACCTGCCAGATGAATGGGCAGAGAGGAGAGCAAGTGGACGAGTTTCTGGAGAGGAAAAAGAGTTGAGCAAGTTAACATACACTGATGTTACCAATCCCCGGAGAGGGAGTGATATCTTCTGCAGCTAGGAAACCATGCATGCATTATGGACATCGGAAGACGCATGCAAGGCTGGCCTAGGGTGTTTGCATGATGAGGCTCGATGAGGCTGGAGAGGGAAAAAGAGAGCAAGTTAAACATACAGCAATGGAGAGGTAGCGACATCTTCTGCAGCTAGGAAACCAAGCATGCATTATGGACACTGGAAGACGCATGCAAGGCTGGCCTAGGGTGTTTGCATGATGAGGCTCGATGAGGCTGGAGAGGAAAAAAGAGAGCAAGTTAAACATACAGCAATGGAGAGGTAGCGACATCTTCTGCAGCTAGGAAGCCAAGCATGCATTAGGAGCATCAGAAGAAAACGCATGCAAGGCTGGCCTATGGTGTTTACCTAGGTCCTACTTGGAACCTACAGGGAAAGAAAAAGAGTTAACAAATGAATGTATAATGCATACATACAATAATAAATATAAAAATTAATGACAAAATAAATGACGATGAGTAAAAAAATGATGATGAATAAAAATAAAAATACAAAAATAAAACAGAACCCTCCTCAAACCCGCCTCAAGGGCAACCAACAAAAAATTACCGGCATCCATGGATGAGTCGTCGAGTCGACGGGTCGATGAGTCGATGGGTCGATGAGTCGTTGAGTCGATGGGAGTGAGGTAGATCCAGCTCCGTCTGTGTAACAGAAAACAGCAGTTTGGCGACATCATCTCGGAGATATAGCCATAGAGTTACCTACCAGATGAATGGGCAGAGAGGAGAGCATGTGGACGAGTTTCTGGAGAGGAAAAAGAGTTGAGCAAGTTAACATACACTGATTTTACCAATCCCCGGAGAGGGTAGCGACATCTTCTGCATCTAGGAAACCAAGCATGCATTATGGACATTGGAAGACGCATGCAAGGCTGGCCTAGGGAGTTTGCATAATGAGGCTCGATGAGGCTGGAGAGGAAAAAAGAGAGCAAGTTAAACATACAGCAATGGAGAGGTAGCGACATCTTCTGCAGCTAGGAAACAAGCATGATTATGGACACTGGAAGACGCATGCAAGGCTGGCCTAGGAGTTTGCATATGAGGCTCGATGAGGTGGAGAGGAAAAAAGAGAGCAAGTTAAACATACAGCAATGGAGAGGTAGCGACATCTTCTGCAGCTAGGAAACCAAGCATGCATTATGGACACTGGAAGACGCATGCAAGGCTGGCCTAGGAGTTTGCATAATGAGGCTCGATGAGGCTGGAGAGGAAACAAGAGAGCAAGTTAAACATACAGCAATGGAGAGGTAGCGACATCTTCTGCAGCTAGGAAACCAAGCATGCATTATGGACACTGAAAGACGCATGCAAGGCTGGCCTAGGGAGTTTGCATAATGAGGCTCGATGAGGCTGGAGAGGAAAAAGAGAGCAAGTTAAACATACAGCAATGGAGAGGGTAGCGACATCTTCTGCAGCTAGGGAAACCAAGCATGCATTATGGACACTGGAAGACGCATGCAAGGCTGGCCTAGGAGTTTGCATAATGAGGCTCGATGAGGCTGGAGAGGAAACAAGAGAGCAAGTTAAACATACAGCAATGGAGAGGTAGCGACATCTCTGCGCTAGGAAACCAAGCAGCATTATGGACCTGAAAGACGCAGCAAGCTGGCCTAGGAGTTTGCATATGAGGCTCGTGAGGCTGGAGAGGAAAAAAGAGAGCAAGTTAAACATACAGCATGGAGAGGTAGCGACATCTTCTGCAGCTAGGAACCAGCATGCTTATGGACACTGGAAGACGCATGCAAGGCTGGCCTAGGGTGTTGCATGATGAGGCTTGATGAGGCTGGAGAGGAAAAAAGAGAGCAAGTTAAACATACAGCAATGGAGAGGTAGCGACATCTTCTGCAGCTAGGAAGCCAAGCATGCATAAGGAGCATCAGAAGAAAACGCATGCAAGGCTGGCCTATGGTGTTTACCTAGGTCCTACTTAGAACCTACAGGGAAAGAAAAAGAGTTAACAAATGAATGTATAATGCATACATACAATAATAAATATAAAAATTAATGACAAAATAAATGACGATGAGTAAAAAAATGATGATGAATAAAAATAAAAATACAAAAATAAAACAGAACCCTCCTCAAACCCGCCTCAAGGGCAACCAACAAAAAATGACCGCCATCCATGGATGAGTCGTCGAGTCGACGGGTCGATGAGTCGTTGAGTCGATGGGAGTGAGGTAGATCCAGCTCCGTCTGTGTAACAGAAAACAGCAGTTTGGCGACATCATCTCGGAGATATAGTCATAATAGTTACCTGCCAGATGAATGGGCAGAGAGGAGAGCATGTGGACGAGTTTCTGGAGAGGAAAAAGAGTTGAGCAAGTTAACATACACTGATTTTACCAATCCCCGGAGAGGTAGTGACATCTTCTGCAGCTAGGAAACCAAGCATGCATTATGGACACTGGAAGACGCATGCAAGGCTGGCCTAGGAGTTTGCATAATGAGGCTCGATGAGGCTGGAGAGGAAACAAGAGAGCAAGTTAAACATACAGCAATGGAGAGGTAGCGACATCTTCTGCAGCTAGGAAGCCAAGCATGCATTAGGAGCATCAGAAGAAAACGCATGCAAGGCCTGGCCTATGGTGTTTACCTAGGTCCTACTTAGAACCTACAGGGAAAGAAAAAGAGTTAACAAATGAATGTATAATACATACATACGATAATAAATATAAAAATTAATGACAAAATAAATGACGATGAGTAAAAAAATGATGATGAATAAAAATAAAAATACAAAAATAAAACAGAACCCTCCTCAAACCCGCCTCAAGGGCAACCAACAAAAATTACCGCATCCATGGATGAGTCGTCGAGTCGACGGGTCGATGAGTCGTTGAGTCGATGGGAGTGAGGTAGATCCAGCTCCGTCTGTGTAACAGAAAACAGCAGTTTGGCGACATCATCTCGGAGATATAGTCATAATAGTTACCTGCCAGATGAATGGGCAGAGAGGAGAGCAAGTGGACGAGTTTCTGGAGAGGAAAAAGAGTTGAGCAAGTTAACATACACTGATGTTACCAATCCCCGGAGAGGGAGTGATATCTTCTGCAGCTAGGAAACCAAGCATGCATTATGGACATTGGAAGACGCATGCAAGGCTGGCCTAGGGAGTTTGCATAATGAGGCTCGATGAGGCTGGAGAGGAAAAAAGAGAGCAAGTTAAACATACAGCAATGGAGAGGTAGCGACATCTTCTGCAGCTAGGAAACCAAGCATGCATTATGGACACTGGAAGACGCATGCAAGGCTGGCCTAGGAGTTTGCATGATGAGGCTCGATGAGGCTGGAGAGGAAAAAGAGAGCAAGTTAAACATACAGCAATGGAGAGGTAGCGACATCTTCTGCAGCTAGGAAACCAAGCATGCATTATGGACACTGGAAGACGCATGCAAGGCTGGCCTAGGAGTTTGCATAATGAGGCTCGATGAGGCTGGAGAGGAAAAAGAGAGCAAGTTAAACATACAGCAATGGAGAGGTAGCGACATCTTCTGCAGCTAGGAAACCAAGCATGCATTATGGACACTGGAAGACGCATGCAAGGCTGGCCTAGGGAGTTTGCATGATGAGGCTCGATGAGGCTGGAGAGGAAAAAAGAGAGCAAGTTAAACATACAGCAATGGAGAGGTAGCGACATCTTCTGCAGCTAGGAAACCAAGCATGCATTATGGACATTGGAAGACGCATGCAAGGTTGGCCTAGGGTGTTTGCATGATGAGGCTCGATGAGGCTGGAGAGGAAACAAGAGAGCAAGTTAAACATACAGCAATGGAGAGGTAGCGACATCTTCTGCAGCTAGGAAGCCAAGCATGCATTAGGAGCATCAGAAGAAAACGCATGCAAGGCTGGCCTATGGTGTTTACCTAGGTCCTACTTAGAACCTACAGGGAAAGAAAAAGAGTTAACAAATGAATGTATAATGCATACATACAATAATAAATATAAAAAGTAATGACAAAATAAATGACGATGAGTAAAAAAATGATGATGAATAAAAATAAAAATACAAAAATAAAACAGAACCCTCCTCAAACCCGCCTCAAGGGCAACCAACAAAAATTACCGGCATCCATGGATGAGTCGTCGAGTCGACGGGTCGATGAGTCGATGGGTCGATGAGTCGTTGAGTCGATGGGAGTGAGGTAGATCCAGTTCTGTCTGTGTAACAGAAAACAGCAGTTTGGCGACATCATCTCGGAGATATAGTCATAATAGTTACCTGCCAGATGAATGGGCAGAGGAGAGCAAGTGGACGAGTTTCTGGAGAGGAAAAAGAGTTGAGCAAGTTAACATACACTGATGTTACCAATCCCCGGAGAGGGAGTGACATCTTCTGCAGCTAGGAAACCAAGCATGCATTATGGACACTGGAAGACGCATGCAAGGCTGGCCTAGGAGTTTGCATAATGAGGCTCGATGAGGCTGGAGAGGAAACAAGAGAGCAAGTTAAACATACAGCAATGGAGAGGTAGCGACATCTTCTGCAGCTAGGAAACCAAGCATGCATTATGGACATTGGAAGACGCATGCAAGGCTGGCCTATGGTGTTTACCTAGGTCCTACTTGGAACCTACAGGGAAAGAAAAAGAGTTAACAAATGAATGTATAATGCATACATACAATAATAATTATTGTATAAAAATAAACGAAAAATAAATGATGATGAGTAAAAAAATGATGATGAATAAAAATCAAAATACAGAAAAATAAAGACAGAACCCTCCTCAAACCCGCCTCAAGGGCAACCAACAAAGAATTACCGGCATCCATGGATGAGTCGTCGAGTCGGCGGGTCGTCGAGTCGTCGAGTCGACGGGTCGTTGAGTCGACGGGTCGATGAGTAGTAGACCCAGCTCCGTCTGTGTAACGCGGCTGTGTGTATCTGGAGGGGCACAACAAAGATGAACGCGAGCTGCGAAGTAAGGCGGAAACAACGCACAGTGGAGAGGTGTCCGTCTGGCCAGTCCCATTGCAGCTCAGAGGGACTTCGCGAGTAATCTTGGAGAGAGACGAGGAGTCGGCGCTGCTGGTAGTGGAGATGCGAGCGACAGAGTTTCTGTGATAATTTGCGCCGAATGAACTGCGGAGAGCCAGCGGTCGGGGGGTTTTATGCTCGGCGCTCACGTGCGTTTTAGCTACCCGCCTTTTCTTCGACTGACCAATGAGGTTGCAGCTCGCGCACTGGACCTGGTGAAGCCCTTTACAATGACTTCTAATCGAACATAGATTTTCTTGTAATCACCGACAATACAGTCATGTCAAGGTCATGCGACATGACTCCCTGCGCGCCGCCGTTTGTACGCGTGTGTCGACGACACGCATGCGCTTAAATTAACGCATTCATTATCGTCATTAGCATGCACCGTATGTTAGAGCCGCAGTTTCCTTGCAGATGTGTGTGAACTTTATTTCATCAATTACAGCGAAAATGTGGAGAGATAAAAAACTGGCCACCTAGACAAGAACTCTTTCTCGGTAGCTATACAGCGCCTATTGGTTTCTATTATACTGGTGCGTATATCATTCTCTTGTGGGAAAAGTTAGTTTTTGGTGCACCCTCTGCACAGTATAATTATACTTCCATCAGTAATATATTAATATGGAACCAAGGACAATTTTTCTGGATAAACTCCCAACTTGCTCAAGTAGCTATAACTAGCTGCAGGCTCACACAATGCAAAAACAAGCCAAGAACAAGCTATGTAGGAAGGCTTCATTTCAGCTAAGCCTCAATACGATACATCATCTTTAATTAACATCCTGCTCCAAAATCTATGAGTGATTTAACTGCAGAGACAGCAACATATAATATTATAGTGAGGTCTAAAATCGAGAATTGTGATAAAATTTTCCACGTCCCCATCTCAAGACAAACCACAGCTGTATGAGTCAAGAGAAAAATTTAGTGATAAGTAGCTATCAGTGCCTCAATAAAATTAAATTTATACCTACTGGTGCTAGCTTATGGTCTGTGTGTGCATAACATATATACAATTCTGAATTTCCCCCCCAAAAATTCAGCCTAACTGCATGAGCTAACAACAATAAGCTAAAACAAGAATGACTGTTTGTATCAAACTTCTCTAAACAGAATTAGAAAATATTGTGTGGGCGGTTTCCAAGAAAGTTCAAGAAGATATGACAGTAAGAACCATATCTAACGCCATTATGCAAGATACTGTGTAACCTATAGCTATATATTATTTGCAGGTTGTTTACGAACCAAATTCCCCTCTTCTTCTTATTGTGATGAATGAAGTAGCTAGCATATTTCTTCTGATGTGTGCCCGCTATCCCTGACACCAAATGGAAACAGTAATTATAGCTGATAACTAAGGGAACACAATTTTGCACACCCTAAATGGTTGTGTTGGATGTGGGCTGGGTGAGCCACTAACCGTAGTATCTTTAGCTAGTACCCGGCAAACTTAGTTGTTGCAAAAACGCTTTGCTATATAACCAGCCCCGCCAGTCAGTCAGTGCACACGTCTCATGAGCTTACATTTACGTGAGGTGCGTGACTCTGACTACGACAGGGTGTATTGTCAGGACATTACGAGAAATGTGTGTTTTGATGTTTGATTGTAATACTCTTCAGGGCTTCATCAGGTCGTGCGTCTTGGTGTCGGCAAGTGCGCGAGCTTCAACCTCATTGGTCAGTCGAAGAAAAGGCGGGTAGCTAAAACGCACGTGAGCGCCGAGCATAAAACCGGATCGCTGGCTCTCCGCAGTTCATTCGGCGCAAATTGCACAACACAGAAACTCTGTCACTCGCATCTCCACTACCAGCAGCGCCGACTCCTCGCCTCTCTCCAAGATTACTCGCGAAGTCCCTCTGAGCTGCAATGGACTGGCCAGTCATGTCGGCGAGACGGACATCTCTCCACTGTACGTTGTCTCCGCCTTACTTCGCAGCTCGCGTTCATCTTTGTTGTGCCCCTCCAGATACACACAGCCGCGTTACACAGACGGAGCTGGGTCTACTACTCATCGACCCGTCGACTCGACGACCCGATTCAAGTGCAAATCTGTAGAAGGTGAGAAGCATTTCTATGGAAGTCAAATCTAATCATATGCTGTAGACTGATGAGAGAGTATTATGACTTAATGCCAAGTCTGATACTACTAAAATCTTAGTTGCTAAAGATCCTCTGTCAGGCTGGGAGAACTTTGCCTGTAGCTGCATCTCTCTCACTGACTAGCGGAGCACTGGATGCTGAGTTGACTTAGCCAAAGACTGCTGAGGATCATCAACTTTTGATCTGGATTGGACAGCAGTAATTCTATGACTGTTAACATTTTTTTGAAGAAAATTTTTTTATGACTTCAAGTGAGCATAGCTATATGTACCACAATCGATGTGATGCAACATCCATGATGATGGAACGACGAAGATATGAGTACACTGAATTGAACAGCAGTAATTCTGCTGACTATGTAACTCTTCAACTTAATCTTGAACGTACTAAGATAAATTTTGATCCTAAATTTATCTGTGTACATTTTAGTGTATGACATTTGCGCACACGCGCTTCATATCGTGTTTTGCGCGTGCGCACTTTCGTATGTACGCGCATGCGCAGAAGTGTAATATTTAACCTTTTCTCGACTGCATTTGCACAGTTGCGCTTGCGAAGAAAGAAGGGGCGGGATATAGAGAAGATGGACGGACCCACTTTTCCATTGGTGTGCGCTCGCTGTAAAGTGACAAGTAGTCTCATGTGGGAGAAAAACAAGGAAGGAGAGATCCTCTGCCTCGAATGTCACTCCAACTCCAGGCAAGAGCCGGCGAGCGTCCTATCTCGCTCTGAACGACCCATGACTACCGCTGCTTCTTCGCATAGCAACCGGGAACCTGTCGTCGCCACCGCCTCTTCCGAGCCTCCGTCGACGTCCGCGGGGTTTACCGGGAGACGAACGAGACAGCGAAACGCGAAGGGACGATACGGAAGAGCCCCGGCGGTCGAAAATGCAACTAAAAACTCGGCTACGCCGCCTTCTTCCGCCTCGCCAGCCCCGATGGGCGGAAGTCAGTCGCCCGCTCCTCCTCCCGCTCCTCCCTCTTCATCCCAGCAACAAACTGAAAGCAACACGACCTCCAGTCAAAAGAAGGGAAAGACGAGTTCAGGAAGGCGCTCTCTAATAAGAGTGACAAAACCGACGAAAGCGCCCGCTTTTGATGCGACAGTTGTCACCAGCGACGCAGTACTACACAAAGTAAGATCTACATACCAAAAGGGAAAGCAAAGGAAAATTTCAGCAAATGTGTTATTTATACTCCCAATTTTTCACACCCAGGGCACGAGGTATGAGGTGGGAGACATTGTTTCAATTATGGACGAAAACGGTAGAGTGTACTATGCACTACTGAGAGGATTTCTGGAGGACCAGTATGCCGAGAAATACGCAGCCCTGACTTGGCTCATCCCTACCACACCCAACCCGAAAGACTTTGACCCTTCACTATTTGTACTAGGTATATTACACCATACTCATTAAAACTCTTTGGACACGCCATAGGGGTATCTCTTGAAATGAGCAGAAAATCACATATAAAGTATTAGCGCCTAGTTTTATAATCCATTCTTGTGGACTTATGGACATAAGTGTCTGCAGCTGGTTAAGTGTTAACTCTTTGCACAAACCTCTGAATAAGGAAAGAGTGTCCTTGGAGGAGGTGAAACACTAACGTATTAGTATGGGGCTGAACCAAGTGTCTCTCTCTCTCTCTCTATGGAGATGTGTCCTATATTCAGATGATCCTTTTTGGAGGTTTCACTGTATTTCCCATGACATCATTATCGAGATTATCGACATCATCTACACTATTGTAGGTCCAGAAGAGGACAGTCCGAGAGACATGGAATGCCTCGATTTCGTGACCCACTCTCCGCAATCTGCCAGCTTCCTTCCCTCCCTCTCTCGTGACTCAGACCTCGCAATGCTCTGGACGGGCTCCAAGAGAAGACGAATAATGTTCACTTCTTAGCACACAGCTGTCACTGGCACAGTCAACATAGGTCATACATTAATAGACACACGTCATAATTGTGTTACAATGACATTGTTTTAACCTATTTATTAATGTGTGATGTAGAGCGAAGGTTTACAAAAACGAAACTTTCATTGAGAATTTGCAGTACATAGTACATACGTAATCAGCGAGGTAATGAGTTAGTTATTCGACAATAAGAACTTGCTCATCGTCATCATTAGTGGGTGGAGTTGGGGGTGTGGCTTGTGAATCCTGTGTGGGAGGGGTTAAACCTTCATTCTCAGCAGTTTTCTCTCTTTCCCCCTCTCCTCCCTCTCTGCCATCGGCCTCTGTTTGAAGGCCAGTAGTGTCGCCATTCTCTGAGTTTGTCATCAAAGTTTCAGTTTGCTGGCGGGGCAAACTCTCCTCGCCCCTGTCGTCAGCATTCATTACTGGCTCCTGGTGTCTTCTGGTCAACGTCAGGTCGACGGTCGTTTGGGGAGTGTGGGACACCAGCTCAACCTCTTTGCCCTGGAGCTAATGTGACACATTATAATACAGAAGGTAAGTGAATATTGGCATTCACAATTTTTATTGGGTGGCATAATTAGTTTTAACTGCTATTTTGTGGCCGCCAATTTTTGCTAGTATGGTATGAAATCGTACCTTCATCTCTGGTTCCTCTGTCTCCTCTTTGACCTCTGACCTGTTGGCCACGCCCTCTTCCTCCGGAACCTCTTCGGGCTCAGCCTGCCTGGTTCCTGAGGGTTAAAAGCGACTATTAATGAATACATCATCCGTCAACCGAACCTTCGTACGTACCCGTAATGTTGGGAGATTCTTTGCCTCCCTCTACCTCTGATTTTATTTCATCTTCGACTTCTATTTCATCGGGAACATTCTCACTAATATTAGCTTCGCCGCCTTCTCCCGATTGTTTATCGAGACCTTCTGTTTGATGGTCCTGTTTCTGGTTGTTTCTGAGCTTTCTACCACTTTTCTTTCTCTCCCTGCTCTCCTTCTTACTAGTGGGAATACTACCATCGGTGGTCAGGAGTTGGGTTTGGCTATTGTCATTTGTGGTTTGGCCTACTTCTGTGGGGGCAGAATTTTGGGCCCCCTCGGGAGGGGCATTATTTTGGACTCTTTCCGGGGGAACGTGAATTTTGGTCCCTTCACTAGGGGTTCCTCGTCGACTTCTGTTTTTACTGCCCCCCTTTCTGGAAATTTGATTTCGGACCCCCTGATTAGGAATTTCGTTTCGAACCCCCTCTTCTGGAAGTTCAGTATGGTCCCTTTCTAGAGTAGCATTTCCATCATCAGTGGAAACCTCCCCCTCTCGGTCTGCGATATCTTCCACCAAACTATCTTCAGCTACACTTAGCGGTTGTGGTGGGTAAGGGGTTAAGTCGCTATCTTGAATCGAAATTGTGACCTCCGTTTTCGGCCCCATTTTAAAATTTCCTTCCCCCGCGACTATTCTGGTAACCACACCCTCCTCGTTACTATCATGGGCTCCTCCGCCCAACGATGGCAGTGGGTTAAGATTCATTACATCATTGTCGTTGTTGCCATGGAAATTAACGTGACCATGCCCCCTCCCCTCACCGGGTTCTCTTCCATTGGTGCGCATGTGTTCCCTGAGGAGGAAGTTTGTGGCGGAGGCGGAGGGAGGGGGAGAGGGCATGCGAGGGTGTCTCTGCATCACTGGACTACCTCCAAACACCGAATCCTGCAGAATAAAACAGTTCATGTGGACAGGAGATGTGCTCCCTATATACTAAGTACATACTGAGGTATAATCACAGTATGTTGGGACTTTCACGAATTACAGTTTTTAAACCCATCATGCAAAAGGTTTGTGAACAGATTTTGTAGGCAGGATCACTTTGCCTTTGCTGAAGGTTTTCCCCCATTTATCACTCCCCCCTCTCTCTTCTCTCTCGGCGACTTACATCTCTGTTCTCCAGAAGAGCTCTCTCTCGGGCCTCTTTGTTCCGCCTCCCGGCCATCGGACGAACCTTCCTTTGCGGAGGAACCAGCAGAATGGCAGTCGGGTCCTGCAGAGCGAAATGTGCACTAAACCTCAACCACTTGTCTTACAATTTAAAATGTGGCAGCAAAATGTTCACTATTGTTCTCCTGGTCATGTGACCTGTCATGTGACAGTTCTGGACAGTGACCAGTCCAGCTACAAGCAGTCGGAGGAAGAGGAGAGCGAACTGGAGTCTGAAGTCTAACGTTATGGATTGACTGTCGCTGATAGTGCGTTTCAGTTGTCGAGTTGAGAGTTACCTCAAACTATTATAGTCAGTAAAGGAAAGTTGAGGCAACTTACAAACCAAATACAAGTCTATTTCATGGGTTTTGTATCTAGTGCATTAATACATGGTCCACATAAACTTATGATCCAGCGCTTTGCATGAGAATCTCAAACATTAAAATCGAGGCTTTCTCCCGGAAAGGTTTGGATGATGTATTACGTATGATTATACCACAGGTGGTGGTTGTGGTCTTGCATGTGGGGCTGTGTTGGACAGAGAGAGAAGAGGAGGAGGAGGGAGGGAGGGGCGGCCCCACCCACCGCCCCGGGGCTTCGGCAACCGTCTTGTCACTACTGGCAGCGTCAGCGTCATATTTCTGGAAAAAGTGACAAGTACACAGAGTAACTTCCTTTCAAACTGAGCGTAAATTCCTGATTAGTAAACCCCATTTTCCCCTAAGAATTATGTGTGTCAAGTGTTGGCAGAGTTTCAAAAAGTAGGGGGGGAAATGAAAAAAGTGTCGGTATTCCTGAAAATTCAGACACTAGAGAGTAAACGTAAATGCTCAGGCTATATACCTTTTTCTCCGGAGAGTGGTGATGTTGGTTGCGCAGTAAGCGACTTTCCTAAAGGGTTTGCTGCCTTCGACTGCGACGTACTTTCCTCCATCAAGTAGTTGATTTACGACCTCACCGTCCAATGTACAGAGCCTGTGGGTGCAAAGTACAACCAGCAGTAGCTAAAACAATGAACGTTAAAGGTATATAATTATAATGTCGACTTGAAATATTATGTACTTGAAAATGTACTATATACTCAGTACCATAATGAGCACTGCTGGCAATTTCTAAATGAAATAGCATATTAAGAGCTCTACAGTCAATTTCAACTACAGAGACCAAATTTTCAGTAATATTCAAGAAATGTCACTTATAACCATTGATGGAAACTGTTCCTTCAAAACCTGGATTATCCACGGAAAGTCCGTGCAATGGATGCTCCAAAAGAGAATTTTGTTGATGAATGTTTCACACCTATTTTCAGTGCTAAACTATAGTCTGAGTGTTACGATTGTTGGTGTGATTTACTTCTTGGCCGGCGTATAGAGATCGGCCTTCTCAGTGACAATTTCCAGGATGTGATCCCAGGACACCATTACCCTCTTGGGCAGGAGGACACGAACACCGTGGAATAACTCGTCACCGTTTCTGAACACACTGCAGAGAAATGGATAGCCGAACATGCAGACAGACAGAGAGAAGATCGTGGTTTTTGACTCAAAGGAGCTACCGGGTTGAGAACACCGCTCTAAAGGCTCATTTGGTTCTGCTCTATACTATCACATTAACTATTACCTCTGAACAAGGGATGCTTCTGAATTGATGTTTCCAAGGTGCCCCTTATTCGTGGTTGAAGGACTAACTGTAGCTATATATATACCAGAAAGTGTCACTCACTGTATGACGAAAGGTTTTTCCACCGGTCGTTTGTAGCGCGACTCGGCGACAATCACATGAGGTGCTGGCAGCAAAGGAGGAGCCGCTGGCTGTAAACACGAATAGAAGAGTACACACATTGTTATGAGTACACACTGTTTCTAGATAGCTAGCCATATACCTCAAGTCTCTGCTGTCTCCTGGGGAGCAGTTTAGGTCCAGATCCATACCTGCACACAGATCATGAAGAACTTGTCTTACAGTTTGGCATCGCACATGTTGTTAAGGATTAGCCATAGGCACTACATAGTCTAAAATGTATGGACTAGCTAACTGAGGCTTACTTCACTTTCTTGAACTGCTCGGAACCCCCTGCGACGTAGTAGCGTCCGCTCTGAAGCTCCCCCAACGAGCGAACTTTGTGGCCGTGCATGGGAGTGTAGATGTTGCGTACGGCCACGGGGGCTCGAATGCCGCTCGTGACGCGGTTCAGGAACGCGCTGAAGTCGCGGACCTGTCGACCGTTCACCACCAGTAGCTTAGCGTCGGCGTTGATCGTCCCGTTCCTATAGAGGTAGACCTTCTTGGCCGTCTGAGGCTCGTAGTACGACATTGCCTCTCTTCAGGGAGTGTGTATGAAACAAATTCAACCACTTTCTCTCGGCTCTCTTGCCTTGGCTTTGCGTATTTGACTCAGGCAAGGATGTTCGTTATTCTAATGCGCGCCCATTGTTTACCATGGCCTGTTTCCATGGTAACTCCAACCTTCAGCGCATGCGCACTAATTTCTTCTAAAAATAGAGCAATTGTCGCTACCCCTCTCGTAGCTCCGCATTTTTGGTAATAAAACGGAAAATAGTAAGATATACGGAAGTTTAGTCACATGCTCTCTATTTCGTCATCGTTACGGGATTTCCACGCTGCGCGCGCATGCTCATTGCAGCCCGATTGTGCAATCGCCCCCACGTGGCAAGTTCGGTACAGAAACGCGTGCGCAGCATCCGTTGGTTCTTTTCACACTTGCAGTCGAGCGTTGCAGACGTTTCAGCTTCTACCGCATCCATTTGGATCCGACTCTAGTCTCCTTTAAACGTAAGTTTGGGCTCAAAAAGTACCTACACGTCGTCCCTTACTAAAGCGTGTTTTTCAAAGCGTTTTTTAGCACGTGTGATTTTCATTATCTGCCGTTATTTTTCGCCGGCCGCTGTAGTGATAAGATCCCTCAATATTTTATTACCACTGCCTCGTTTCGTGTCTTGTAGCGATCAACCAGTCAGTCATGCCGAAGGAAAAGATACATATCAACATTGTCGTCATCGGACACGTGGACTCCGGAAAGTCGACCACCACCGGCCATCTCATCTACAAGTGCGGCGGCATTGACAAGCGAGCCATTGAGAAGTTCGAGAAGGAAGCAGCGGAGGTAAGACTGCACTTACTTGCGCGAGGTGTGACTTATATTGTGAAATCTTACCTTGTTCCTCTGCTCTTGTGTTTCTGTCCAAAAGATCGGAAAGGGCTCATTCAAGTATGCCTGGGTGTTGGACAAGCTAAAAGCCGAGCGTGAGCGTGGCATCACAATCGACATTGCACTCTGGAAGTTTGAGACGACCAAATACTACATCACTGTCATCGATGCCCCTGGCCACAGGGATTTCATCAAGAACATGATCACAGGGACATCGCAGGTGAGCTAGGAGGGAGGGGGGGGGGGTCAGCAGTACCAGACCATTGTCGCACTGAATTGAGATTTGAGGGTCTGTTGTCTCTCTGAATTTGAGTAGTTGGCACCTGTTTTGTGTGGCTACTACTTTTACTAGCGTGAATAGCAAAGCTTCCTAGGCAATTTCCACCATACATTGGGTAGGAGAGAGGTGCAAATCCTGTGGGCATTCATGGTGGTGGTGATAATCAGTTATCCTGATGGTTCTCCAGTGGTCACTATGCAAGAGGAAGTAGAGTGGATTGTGCATGTGTGTGTGTGGCACAGCATTCCAGGACAGTTACGTCATATCCTGCGCTGTGGTGGTAGTGTGCCTGCCACCCTAGGGCCCACTGAACCACAAGGTTAGTGGAAGAAATTATTGGGGTCTGAATCGCATGCAATTATTTGCGCAAAAGTTTTGCGTTCCTTGCATGTGTTCCAAGTTCAATCTCCTACCTTTTTTATCGCCTTTTTTCCCCTTCCTACTCGTGTTGTGTGTACGGGAGCTAAATTGATTGTAAACCGATACTATTTGACTGCTAATTTGCTCCCCAATGCAGGCTGATTGTGCTGTCTTGATTGTGGCATCGGGGACCGGAGAATTCGAGGCCGGAATCAGCAAGAACGGCCAGACTCGAGAGCACGCTCTCCTGGCCTACACCCTGGGCGTGAAACAACTCTTAGTCGGAGTCAACAAGATGGACAGCACTGAGCCACCCTACAGCGAGGTAAATTTTAGACTCTTGCTGTTCCTCCATCTTTTCCCCCTATCACCCCATGCTCTCTCTCCTTTTCTATGTTTTGTAAGGAACGTGCCGTAGTTTTAAACTTCGGGTATTTCGCCTTCCCTCACTCACTGCCTCTCCTAAGTAAAAGGATAGTTAACCAATCTCCTCCGCTTACTTTATATTCCCCCTCCTTCCCTCATTCAGTCCTTCCCTTACTCTTGAAAACAAGGCATTGTTGTTTAACTGTACGTTGATCGCTACAGGCTCGCTACATGGAGATCACAAAAGAGGTGTCCACATACGTCAAGAAGGTTGGGTACAATCCAAAGGCCGTGGCGTTTGTCCCCATCTCCGGTTGGCACGGCGACAACATGATGGAAGAGTCGGATAAAATGAAGTGGTTCAAGGGGTGGAGCGTCGAGAGGAAGGAAGGAAACGCTTCGGGGAAGACGCTGTTTCAGGCACTGGACTCCATTCTGGCACCCGCCAGGCCAACCGACAAGGCACTCCGACTGCCCCTACAGGACGTGTACAAGATTGGAGGTATATTATACTTATTATGTTCTCCCACCATTATTTATACCTGCTTGTGCATGCACTTGTGTTTAGAATACGGTAGTTGGTCAATGCTTGATAGAGTTAGGGTCATTTTATCACTATACTACACCTGTTGAAAGGATACGTTGTGGAGAGATTGAACCTTTTACTTAATTTTTCCCCTCCTTTCTCCCCTTCTCTTCTCCACCTAAGGAATTGGAACGGTGCCTGTAGGTCGTGTGGAGACTGGTATTTTGAAGCCCGGGATGGTGGTTACCTTCTCCCCGGCCAACATATCAACGGAGGTCAAGTCCGTGGAAATGCACCACGAAGCCCTGACCGAGGCTTTGCCCGGTGACAACGTCGGTTTCAACGTGAAGAACATCTCCGTGAAGGACATCAAGCGTGGAATGGTGGCCGGAGACACCAAGAATGATCCTCCAAAACAAGCTAATACCTTCACTGCCCAGGCGAGACCCCACTCTTGTTTATATCTCCTGTGCCTCTCTATAGGACCGATGATTTTGCCGCATGATAGTTTGTTAAGCTATCCATTCCCTGTCTCCTCTCTACCTATCTCTCCTTGTGTATTACTAACAGATTTCTCGCCTTTTCATTTTCTTGTCCTCTCTAGACCTAGTGTAGAGAAATTAACCTCTTCCTTCCCCCTTCCCCGCACACACACACACACACCAACACTGACACTCATAAACACAACAGGTGATTGTACTCAACCATCCTGGCCAGATCCATGCAGGCTATGCCCCCGTGCTCGACTGCCACACGGCACACATTGCCTGCAAGTTCACAGAGCTCAAGGAGAAGATCGACCGCCGTAGCGGGAAGAAACTTGAGGACAACCCCAAGTTTGTCAAGAGCGGCGACGCAGCCATCGTGTTGATGACACCTTCCAAGCCGATGTGTGTCGAGGCGTTCTCGGAGTATCCTCCGCTCGGTCGTTTCGCCGTCCGGGACATGAAACAGACGGTTGCTGTGGGCGTCATTAAGTCCGTCGATAAGAAGGTCACCGACGCAAAGGCAACCAAATCCGCCCAGAAGAAGGGGAAGTGATACAGACTGAACCTAGTAGGGAGACTAGCGGGTAATTATTGTTTTTCAGTTGGTTGTAACTCCAAAAAAAATCTACTGCCGCTCTTGCTCGCGCTACTGCGGGCAAGACCCGACTGCTTGTACTCTATCATTCCTTGTATGATGGTAAGACTTGTGCGCGCGCGTGTGCATGATAAAGTTGAGACTGGTGTGAAGTGCGCATGCGCGACGATGTTAGGTGGTAGCGCATGCGCCTGGTGTTCAGGGAGATCGCGATGTGGAGCTTGTATATACGTTGCCTATCAAGAAGGCCTCTACTGACGCAAGCGTGCAGCACAGGTTAGTCTCTTCAGATGTTTATGTGCTCGGCAAAAGATGTACCAACGAGCATTAGCGCATGCGCAGTTCCTCACCCACGTGTGTGTGCGTGTAGGTGTGATAAGTGGATTTGGGGATGTGATAGCTCAGCAGTGGGTGGAGGGGGGGACCACATCAACCCATGACTGGAGTAGAACACTCTGCTTCTCCTCTGTCGGATTCCTCTTTGTGGTGGGGAATAATAGAATACTGCAGTAATAAAACCAAGTCAACCGACTCTTCTGTTATAGGGCCCAGTTTTGGGAAGATGGTTTGCACAACTTGACAAGATCATCGGAACACGGCAAACTCTAACTGGTATATAGGATTCTCCGTTAATAATAGCATAAGCCGTATGTAAAGTGGTACTGCACAGTTGGGTGTAAGAAGATGGTCGTCGACCAGGTGTGCTTTGCACCCATTTTCTTCATCTCTCTGCTACCAATACTCTCACTAAGTCAGGGAGTTCCCACAGCCAAAATACCGCAAAAGGTGAAAAAGGTAAAAACTACTGCTTCAGAGCTTTTCTTCTGTCTGTATCTTATATATACCCAATGTACAGGATTACCCAAGTGTTCTTTGGGCCAACTACAAGGTGTAATAAAACTGACTTCAGCAGCAGAAATAAACCTGTTATTTTTCTCTGACAGATTTGGCCTGCAGTCCAGCTGCTAAACTTTTCACTCGTTCCACTCCATTTGAGGTATATAATATGGCGTAAAACAAGCACATTTCACAACAAAGAGAAATAACAGTTTCTGCAATGGCCAGGGTGGAATGCTAAAAAAATGTAAGAATACTTTTGCTGTTTACATAGCTACAAGACTTGTCTCATAAAGGTGCGTTTTTACATGACCTTTTGCAGGGTTAATGTTGCAAACCTCGTGGCAGTAGGATGGAACAGTTACCTATCCTGGAGGTCTCACCAGACATCACATGACCAGTCACATGATCCACCACGTGTCACGTGATCCAAGACACATGACGACCTGTCTAACAATTTTACATTGCAGAAAATTTTCAAAATGTGGAGGGAAATGAAACAGCGCTAGATAAGAATTCTACTGCTTTTTCCGATATCCTTTCCCACTGCTCCTCCTAGCTTCCTTGTCTCGTTTCTTGCTGCTTTTAAGCTCCGCCCCCTGCTTGCCCGCTCGTTTGTACAACTCGTAAACGGCGAGGAATGCCACGAGCACCACCAGGACTGCCATCATGAATCCTGTCAGCTGAGGCGGTGTGCTGAAATACGACGGTTTCGACAGCTTCAACAGCTCCACCTCAAATTCTAGAGTTGCTCCCCCTGAAATAATATCGGTCAAGATTAGCCTCTTCCAAGGCTATATAGTCCTCAAATAATAGCTAAAAGCTCTCTATTACAGTAAAGAGCTAAAAGCTATATCTAAAAGCCATAGCTAAAACTTATGTAAAAGCTATGCATAATTATAGCCATTCAACACACCTGGAATGGTGTCAGGGATACCAGCGTCTCCGTATGCAAGGTGTGGAGGGATGATCAGTCTCCTAAATTCACTGCAGTGATCAAGATTTCCATGAAACACCTCTAAAACACTTAATCCTCTTTACCTACCCTTCACACATACCAACAAGTCCCTCCTCCCATCCTGCAGCAATAAACTCCATCAAAAACCTCTTCAACAGTCACGATATTGTAAATGAAAGTGCTGCATTTTTCTAATGGGTGCAATACCTTTTATAACAGATCCGGCACCTAGTGTTACAGTAAAGGGTTCGCGGCCATCTCTCTTAGAAGAATCAAACACTTGTCCATTAGATTGCAGCTTACCCTGCATAATGGTAATACATAATATAGTGAGGTCATATATATATATATATATATATAGAGAGAGAGAGCATGGTGTGTATGGTGACTAGTGCATACAGTGTAGTGAACTGTTAGAGAGTCTCCTTTCGCAGCCAGAACGGAGCAGTCGTCAGGAGCACTCTGAATGTGAGATGGATAAAGAGCAGATTCATCACTCTCTGATGTATGACCTGGCGTGCTATTGACCTCAGTGATAATCTCCAGTTTCTTCTGCTTCTTGGCTGCCTCCCCAGCTCCACACAGAGCCAGTAAGAGGAAGCCGAGGGGGAGGACAAAACGGTTCTTCATCGTCGCGCAACAAGCGCGGGAGGCGTGGCTAGATCTCTACACATGCGCAGTATAACCGTCGCGCCTAAAAAACGCACGCGGGTGTTTTAGCGCGTTATTTTTGTCGAGGTGGGAGATTCACTCACTTTTTTCTCTCTTTCTCTGCTACGGTTTTTGGGGTCAGAGACATGAGTTACAGGCGAAAGAGTCGAAGCAGGAGTCGGGAAAGGAACCGCGGTGGCAGCCGGAGTCGAAGTCGAGAGCACTACCGCAGCCGAAGCCGTGACCGTGACCGTGACGCCGGGGGCCGGAGCCGCTTTAGAAACGGCCGTCCGCCAAACATCGAGGGTATGGTGAGCCTCAAGGTGGACAACCTCTCCTACCGCATCACGCCAGAGGAGCTACAACCCATGTTCGAGCGCTACGGAGACGTTGGCGACATCTACATCCCGCGGGATCGATTCACAAAGGAGTCTCGCGGGGTTTGCTTTCGTGAGGTACTACGACAAGAGGGACGCGGAGGACGCCATGGACAAGATGGACGGCTACGTCATGGACGGGAGGGAGATGCGGGTCCAGATGGCGCGGTACGGAAGGCCCGCGGAGCCGCCCCAAGTCAGATACGGCAGAGCGTACGTCCCGCCCGCTAGAGGGTAATATTCGGCCCCTATCTTCCTCTCTTGTCCACATTCACATTTTGGTTTTGTTACACGGCAAAGGGAGGTTGCTCTTTCTTCACTCCTTGGCTTTAAAACACAAAAGGTGTTGTTAGTCGTAGCATACTTTATAGCTCATTTCCGCTATAAAGTTGGACCGTTTTTGTTCCCTTCTCAGGCCTGGTGGTCGCTACGGGAGACGAAGCCGGTCTCGTAGCCACTCCCCTCGACGCAGGCGACGCTCATATTCCCGCTCTTCCTCCCGTTCCCGCTCTCGTTCGCAATCGGGCGACCGCAAACGGAAACGCAAGTCCTACTCCAAATCTCGCTCTGCGTCTCCGTCCGGGGAAAAGGACGATGAGAAGGCCCGCTCCAGATCCAGCTCGCCAGAGGGAGAACGAGAGAAGGGGTCGCGGTCTCACTCACGTTCAAAGTCTCCCGCACAAGAAGACGACCAAGAAAAGGGCGAGGAGGGTTCCCCACCCCCTCCGACCCGAGAGCAGAACGCAGAGGATGTTGAGGCAAAGGGGGCTGAGGAGAACGGTAGCCCACCTAGGCAGTCTCGTTCCAGGTCTCCTTCTCCATGAGCTAACGAGGGGAGCCCCTGTCTTGATTGAAGAGCAGATAAACTGCATTGTAAGCACACACGTGCGCATATCCCTATATTTTGCGCACAAAACTTTACCAGTTGTTACTCGCAAACTGCACAACCATTAGCTGTGTGATAATACGTTCTTGCATTTACCTTTTGTCCCCCTCTTCACTATAGCAACATCAGAGAACTGAGTCAGGTTTTCGTATCTAATTAAGTGAAACTGTTTCGATATTTCCCTGTATTGTATGTGTGTGTGTGTGTGTGTGTGTGTGTACTATACCCCTACATGTATGTAAGATGTGCATTCGCTGTTTTCACAGTTGCTGTGAGTGCAGTTGAGTGTGGGGGCTGTGCAGTCAGTGCAGCAGGCATGCAGTTCAGGCAGAGGTCGAGCAGGCGTGTATGCAGATATGTAGGCGTGTGTATGCAGTCCAGTCCAGCGTTACAAAGTGTAGCTGATGGCGGTCCAGTGCTTGTGTACCTACCCAGACGGCAGTGTGTGCAAAGCAGTTGCAGTGTGTCCTGTGCTCTTCCCTGAAGAGGATTAGGATTTTCTCTCTTTCTCTCTGTCTCCCCCTCTGTTTCCCTCACCTTTCCATTCCACCACCTCTTCCCCCCTCTCCGCTTTCTCTCCTCTGCTTCTACAAGGAGCCTATAGCACGTTATGTATGGGCATACGCCGAGATAGTATATTTGGCCGCATGTGCTAGAACCAAAAATCAACGTCATGTGCATATCAGTCTGACAAAGTTGATCATCTCAATATCTGAGCATAGTCTGTGCTTGTAAAGGGCAGGAGAGTGGCGGGGTGTTCGTGTTTGTCGGGTGATCTGCGACAAAGAGGGGAGAGGGAGAAGAAACAGATAGTGTCACGATTGATGGACAAAGTGCTCACTTGGGCTCAAACACCTTGACCTGACGGATGTGGGCATCTCTCCCATTTTGGTGATTCGTAAGAATCACCACCTGAAAATGAAATGCCTTGACTGGTCTAAAGGATGTGTCAATAACAACACTATTTTGCATACTTCATTTCTGACCTTTCGTGTTTGTCCAAAACATTTATGTCAATCCAGCCTTCGGGCTCTGTGAATTCTACCACTGCAATTTGCTGGGGGAACGAGGGGTGGTTTTATTATTTTGTGTGCTCATGGATGTGTGGCATACCGTGAGGTCGTTGAATGTGCTGCCAGCTCTAACGGCCACCTTGCTTGGCGTGTAGCTCTCATCCTGTTTGTAGTCCAAGTATAGTGAGATTGTCTGGATGAAAATGAATGAGCATGATTTTTAGTGGGAAGGTGGTGATTTGCTTGCCTCTACTTCCGTCTTCATCAAAAACTGAATGTTGACGTAATGAGGTTGCAACCCATCTGACCTGCACGTGACATACATGCGGGTTACTCTAAATGACGCCACTCGGAGTTATCCGAGCTCGAGACTTACTGCCAGTAAGTGTTGATGGAGTCGTCTCTCAGTTGGGCGATGCCGAAGCCGGGCTTACTGGACGAGAGAGACCAAACTGCCTGGCTCCCTATCTCCAGCGGCGGCGCAGCACCGCTATCTTCAGCCTGCTGCATCGCTTTATGCGCATGCGCGTAAACGGCCGCTAACGTATAAAAGTCGCCGCCGCAGAGTGTGTGGGACGCGGAGTTTGCTCAGCTTCACTTTCCGAGTTCGTTCTGTTTCTGAGACGAAAACAGCGAGAAAATGGCAGATAGACCAAAGGGATTCGGAATGACGGCCGAGCTTCAGGAGAAGAAGGCAGCGAAGTATGACCCAACGCTGGCGGCTGAGGCCGTGGAGTGGATGCAGCGATTGACGGGTCAAGAACTTCCTCAGGGTACCGGCAACACTATGACGTCCGTTCAAGACGCGCTGAAAGACGGTGTCTACCTGTGCCTGGTCATCAACACGCTCGCGCCTGGGAGCGTCAAGAAAGTCAACTCGAGCAAAATGGCTTTCAAGATGATGGAGAACATTGGGAACTTCTTGTCAGCGTGCGAGACGTACGGACTCAAGAAAACCGACATCTTCCAGACGGTCGACTTGTACGAAGCAGAAAATATCCCCCAAGTCATCAACGGCCTACACGCCCTCGGGAGGAAAGCCCAGGCGAAAGGGCAAGAAGGAACCGGGCCCAAAGAGGCAGTGGCGAACAAGCGGGAATTCGACGAGCAGACGCTGAAGGCCGGCCAGAATGTTATCGGACTCCAGATGGGCACGAACCGCGGAGCCTCGCAAGCCGGCTCTACCCCCGCAGGACTTGGGCGACAGATCCACGGCATCAACCTAAAGGGCGTTCAGTGAGCGTTCCCCGACCCGACCGCTCAACAGACGTTTTCCGCACCTCTAGCCGTGAATACTTAGCTACCGACCTCTTGCACAATGATTCATTCACCGCCCTTCTATTTTCCCCAGTGTGTATGTGTGTGTCAAATTTAGCGTGACAACTCGCTGTTTCTGTGGGGCTTTTTATTCCTGTGTTCATGCATAATATCCTTTAGAAGTTCACTTTGTAGTGTCAATTTTGAGTCTGAACCAACTGCCTCTAACTACGGCCCGTGTGAGGATTTTTAGCGTAATCAGCGTCTTTGACGCGCTGTGTAAACGGGATAAGCCTACCGTACTAACGAGGAAGCTAGAGAAAGAGAGAGAACAATGGCAGAGAGACCCAAGGGATACGGGATGACGGCCGAGCTTGAAGAGAAAAAAGCGGCCAAGTACGACCCCGAGTTGGAAGCCGAAGCTCGAGACTGGATGGAGAGAGTGACGGGCGACCGGCTTCCGGGCGGTTCCTTGCACGCGGCACTGAAAGACGGCGTCTACCTGTGCAAGCTGATAAACAAGCTCCAGCCGGGCAGCGTCCCGAAGGTCAACTCGAGCAAAATGGCGTTCAAGATGATGGAGAACATTGGTAACTTTCTGTCCGCCTGCGAGAAATACGGACTCAAGAAAACCGACCTCTTCCAGACGGTGGACCTGTACGAAGACCAACACATGGTCCAAGTCGTTCTGGCTCTACACGCCTTGGGGAGGAAGGCCAAAACTAAGGGTAAACCGGGGATCGGGCCCAAGGAGGCCACTGCCAATAAACGCTCGTTCGATGAAGGGACAAAGAGGGCAGGGCAGAGTGTCATAGGGCTACAGATGGGGACCAATCGCGGTGCTCACAAGCCGGAATGACACCGACTGGCCTCGGGAGGCAAGTCTACGGCGTCAACTTGAAGGGCGTACAGTAGTCCCCACCCTTCACCAGTTCGGTGAACATTTTGGGCTCTATTATAGACAGGTCGCTATGGTTTTTAAGTGTACAACTAATCGCTCTGAAAAACTCCCAAATCCAAGTATACTGTGTTTTGTTGAGGCTGTGTAATTATATGGCAGTTGTTACAAAATTAAATCCTTTTATCAATGATTGTGCTCTTTCGTAATGCGATGTCTCTATAACGAGAGGTATATTTCCTGTGGTTGCCATGGTGCCCACGTCTCTATGGCAGCGTCGGAGAAGAGTCTTGGGGTTACGGTGGGAGAGACTGAGTCGAGGGAGATGATTGAGAGACTTGCTGCTCTTAGTCCTGCTTTGATGGCCTTGTCATGGGGGAATCCTCGTACCAGGCTGGATAGCATTGCACCTACAAAACTTTAGTGATATGAGAGGGGGAGAGGGGGGTGTCAATATGAACACCACTGCTAGACTGCTAGTGTAAAATACATGCACTGAAGTACATATAGGTTGTGGGGATTTTACTGCTCTACTGGGACAATGGATAGTTGTGAAAACAGAGCTGTGTGCACGGATTACTAGGTATTGAGTGTGAAAGAAACACACTATCTAAATGTGTGCTGTGGTGCCCTTTGCACCTAGATTCTTAACAGGGCTTCTCCAAAAGGAAACTCTAGATGGCAATGCAAACACTGTCAACCAGCCACTAATTGAGGTCCCCAGAGACATCTATTCAACCCTTGTGGCTTCCACACCAACAAACATAACCTTTGTTCCATAGACAACTATGGTGCAGCGCCAATGTATGGATACATGGGCACCATACATTCCTATATACGTATGTGACTTGGTCCCACACACAACTCAAACATACGCCATTCTTTACTACGCCTCTTAGTATACTAGAATCTGGGAGCCAAGCCAGCCAAGCCCAAATCCCTCACCACTTCAACACCACGATGAATACACTTTACTTCTCAATGCAGCCATAATAATATGCACATAGTGTGTGTGTGTGAAGAGCAGCTAATTAGGGCAGACTGGAGCCTAATTGGAATGCTATGACTGGAAGATTTGGTATGTGTTATGGGTTTTGATTGAGCATGTGAAATATTTCAGGTATTATGAGTTCATCCTGGCCACTTCCTCCAAGTGTTTATGGCCGCTGTCTTACTCCCTGCCCACTCTCTTCTCTCTTCCTCCATTACCCTCACTTCCTTCCTCACGCCCCCACCCCCTCACCCTCCCACCCTTTCCCCTCAACTCCTCTTTCTCTCCTTCTTCCCACCCTCACCTATCTCCTGCGCCGGAGACACTGACTGGCTTGGTATGAGAATGGCGACCAAAAGTGGTGAAATGAGAGAGATTTGTTTCGCCTCCCTCTCTTCTCTCCCCCCACACAACTCCGTCTCTGCCAAGGCTGGCCAGGACATGCGGTACATGGTCAAGTAGACGTGGGATAAGCTCTCCACATTCTGTTAGTTTCTCCTCCACCGTTAGATCTGCATTGTGTTGTGAGAGAGAGAAGTTTAGGACGAATGGACTAGTGGTTTACCAACAACTGGGATAGTGTGAAAGTTAGCAAACAATCAAGAACACTAGACTTCCTTAAAAGTCATCTTCAAACCTGTTTCTAGCGTGGGTTGGGGCAAAGGGTGTCAAAATTGATTTTACTGTAGGTCAGATAGTGTGTGCTGTATGCTGGGCCACACAAAAAGAGTGTTTGTACTTATCTCCATATAAGGTCCTCCCATACAGCTGCAGTGGGAGCTGTAGCCACAGGAATGCAGCCTACACACCACTACATGTACAGTACGTGCCTTGTTCATGTCCCCCTACCTTGTTCATGTCCCCCTACCGTAACACTAATACAACTACATACATATGTCTTTCACAGATGTATATACATGTACTCTACAAGATGTTGGGTGCACTTTACACATCAACACACGTAAAAGTACAGGAATTACAAGTATTTTGCAGCTATATACAGGGCATAGACAGCGTGATTAGGTGCCCCACAATTGGATAATGGGCTGTGAACCGTCGTCAATAAACACCGCGAGGCGGGGCTGGCACAATAGGTGTGTGCGTACCTGTCGGTGGTCTCTATTTGGAAACAGAATCAAAACAAACCCAACACCAACAACCAAAAACCCAAACAACCCACAAACCCCCCCAAAACCCACCCCCCAAACCCCCCCACACCCAACAAAAAAAACCCACCCCCCCCACCACAAAACCCCAAAACAACAAAAAAAAAAACTCTGCCAATTTGGGATAAACCCTTACTTACAATAAGCCGACAATGCATTCACTGGGCCTTGCAGACTAGCCATTGCACCCTTAGATTAGCTACGTAGCGTGACTCGCGCATTCCTTCCCCCACATAAGACCTTGGCTAGCCAAATTGGCATTACGGCAAGGTATTTACAAAGACTGAACGTACATACGGCGTAGGAGAGGACTTGTAAGCCTACCTTAGGCGTAGGAGAGGACTTGTAAGCAAAGCAAGCCTACCTTATAGTCTGCCTCATGCACTTCTTCTGTTTTTTTCTGAGGGCACTTACACCAAAGAGGGGGTAAAGAAGGGACTTGCAACGAGAAGAGGGAGTATTGTTAACAACTTAGTGGGAAGGCCAGATAGGGACAGTGAGATATTAGGCGAGATATATAGGAATAGGGGGAGCAAGATGGCAGTCAGTACATACTATCCAATTGAAAGAACTAATCACAAAATTCAAAAAGAAAAAAGTTTTTTCCTTCTTTAGTTTCCCGCTACACATTAGTTTGTACATATACCAGTAATGTGTGGTTTAGTGGGTGGAAGAGAGTCCACGAGACAGCTGTGGATGCTGCGCAGCTCTGCGAGGTTGGGTGAAGTATAGCTGACTCTGTCTAGAACTCCGTCATGGAGCAGTGCACTGGCCTTGTCCGGACCGGTCGGTTCAAACCATACTTTGTGTTTAGAGTGGGGGAAGGGAAGGCAGGATGGAAGAGAGAAAGAGAGGGGGTTAATGAAGGAGCGCAAGAGGGATGTGAAGTACATATGTATGTACATACAATTCACTGTGGTAAGTTATTAATATTCCACACTCCAAACAAGAAAGGGAGAGAGAGGGGAAAGGAGAGACAGGAGGGAAATCGTCTCGGTCCCCTTTTGCCTCGCTCCTCTCTCGCTTTTCCTCTCCTCCTCTCTCTCTATTACTTTCGCTCTGCTTTTCCTTCTTTCTCCTCCTCTCTCTTCTCTTCCCTTCTTCCTCCCTCCTCTCTCTGGTCATCTTCTCTCCTCTCCTCTTTTCCTCTGTCTTCTCTCTCTTCTTTTCCCTCCTTTTCTTCTCCCTCGTTTCCTCGTCTCGCTACCTCTCTTTCTCTCTCCTTCTCTCTCTTCTTTTCCGCTCTCTTCTCTCTGCTCTTTTCCTCTTCGCTCTTCTCTCTCTTTCCTCTTCCGCTCTCCCCCGCCTTCTCTCTATCTTTTCCTCCCTTCGCTTCTCTCTCTTTTCCCATCCTTCTCTCTCTCTTTTTTCCTCGGTCTTCTCTCTTATCTTTTCCGCTTCTCTCTCTCTCTTTTTTTTCTCTCATCTCGTCTCGCTCTTTTCCCTTCTCCC